AAGTATAAATATCAGATTAGTACGGGTTTCAGTCAAGTTAGAAATATTGTTCCGTTAACCAAACCAAATATCTCGGTGCGGATCAGATCGGAATAATTAAAATTAAAAAATAATTATTTAACCAAATCAAACCAAACCGTCGGTATGGTACGGTCGGTACGCAGATAATTCGGATGAGATACCTACCCCTACCCTGCATAATGAGTTTTAAATATGCAAAGAGAGAGGAGGGGCCAGCCATTTTAACCAATTTGATATATGTTAGCAAATGCACAGTTTCTATGTATAAGTAGGACAGACAACTTTATACAGTAAGCCAGACCAAAACTGTAGAGCTTGGCCATGAAACTCAGAGTTGCTAACATCCACGTGCCCTGTTTATGTATGCAAAAGTTTCATGCACTGTCAGATTTGCTGTTGCAGCAATGGGCAGGCATGACACAAACTAGTGGCAGCAAATCCATGTGTTTTTCTTCGTGAATGAGATATGAAGAAGTTTTCTTGCTCTCCTTCTGTCTCAGTTTTGTTTAGGCATTTCATCGAGCACCTTACTCACTGCCCTTCAAGAAAATATAGATAACAAGGAGTTTACAATTTAATTAGTAGAAAGAATGTTGAGTGGGGTATTGCCTTCACTCTCCCATGTATGGATTCCCCGGGATATAATACAATACATCATGAATAATAATTCGTTTGTTGCGTTTACGTTATCATATTGTTACATACCATGATACTGTTCCTTAAACTGTTGAGGATTTTCCACTATGGTCTTTGATTTGATTAGGTAAAGTTTGTATAGTCACGGGCCGAGTGCTCGAGTTTTGCAAAATGCTCAAAATGATAACTCAATGTGGTGTGCGATTTCGCCCAAAATGTCAAGCCAGACCGCACCACATCCAACCCTACTTACATGTCAATCCAGACCACACCACACCACATCCAACCCTACTTACATGTCAGGCACATTACAAATTCTATCAACATTTGTAACATATCACTATTGTCCTCATTAAATACACTTTTAAAAGAGTTTGATGACAAACTTGGGACAAAAAATAATATAAGAACCAAACTAAAACAACCCAAAAAAATTCAGAAGGCAAAATTATAATTAACCTTATATTCAAATAGGATTATGTTTTTGTTTTTGTTTAATACAAATGATAGTCTAAATTATACAATGGGGCGACAGTTTCTCACAATACAAAGTGTCATAGGGGTTCAAACTTGAGACCACTAATTTGCAAGTCAAAATCTTTTTTTACTGTGCTAGATCCGGTTGCTATATTCAAAGATAAAATTCGAATGATGAACAGGATATACTACACAAAAGCATTGCGCACTTAAAACTCATTGAATCCAATCCAAAGCATGTGTTTTTAGGTGGATGTAAATAGCGGGCCCACCCAGGTAGCCATTGTCAAGCGTCAACAATGAATAGAATAGTCAGCTCCTTTTCAGACCCAAAAAGAAAAATAAAAAAAATGAATAGTAAGCTCCTTTAGAAAATATATAGCAATGCCAGGACGATATTTATGCCTACATATCTTGATAAGGTAAAGGTAGTGCCTTATCCGAGTCATGTCTACATGTACACGCTTGGGAGGACCCATGCACCTAACAAGCTAGCAAGTAATGTCTTATTTCAGTGATGGAGGATGCCATGCTTGCGTCTTGCATGGCCACTGCACCATATGTGCGAGCTAGAGGCCATGGGATTAGAAAACCAACCCTGCAAAAGTAGGGTTTTTTAATTATTATTATTATTATCTTAATTACACTCATGTCAGTTATGTTGGATTTATATGAGTAAGTGTAATAATGAGAGTGGATCAAAAACAGAGCACGCGTTTATTTTCCCTTCCCACTATTTGTTGCAACTTACATTCATGTCCTTCATGCTTTTTTTTTCTTTCTTTTCTTTTTGCAAATTAACAAAAAGAAAGGAGAAAAGTACGTTTGTGTGAAAATAAAATCTAGAGCAGATGAAAAATAAGCTCTCTTTAAAACCTAGCCTCCGTTCTCTCTCTTAAACCTTTTTCGTTGTGTTCTGGGGAGGGGGAGGGGGAGGGGGAAGAGGCCACTCCTCCTCCTCTCTCCCTCTCTCTCTTTTCCTTACCTCCCCACTTATTTTCCACTTTCTCATCTACTGGATTTGAGGTTTTAATCGTGGAGGAGGTTACTTGTGTTTAGTTCTGCTTGGATTTGTGGTTTTGTTGGTTGGTGTTTTAGTTATAAGGTGGTTGGCTGCAATCTCGGTAGTGTTCTTTGTCTCGAAGACGAGGACGACGTCTGTGGTGGCAATGGCAACAACGGCAGTAGTGGCTCTTTTGATTTTTGGTTGTTTGTTTGCAGTTTTCTTATTTTATAATAATTGCATCAACTCCTTGTGAGTTGGGTGTTTGATTGTTTTCTAGTCTTTACTTGTATTTTGTACTCGTGAGACTTAAAAGTTGTAATTGTATTCGTTCAGGCATGGTCTTGTGCCTAATTTATTAATACAATTATCGTTTTTCTCTCAAAAATCTAGAGCAGATGTGCTTCCCACTCTGCACCTAAATTTGAATCATCATTCCCTAGTTTAGATTAGTTTAAAATAGAATATCACTAATATATATATAAATCTCAAGTATATAGACTTGAAAATTAAGAATAATATGGTAAAACCTAAAACAACATCTTTTTAGGCATAAACACAATAAAACCAAAAAAACCAAAAGTAGAAGATCCTGTTTTTGTTATCCTCGGTTTTTAAGTATGAGATAAATTCCAATAAATTGGTGCATTACAGAGCTTCTAAAGTTTCATTAGATCCCACTTTTATAGAGAAGAAGACAATAATTATTAATTAGTTGTTTGTTATTGGCATTGGCATAAACGTTGTTTCCACCACTTTGGCAATGCGACCACAACATCCAGACAGACAAGACACACCCAGACAAACCCCTTTTCGACGCAGCCTTTAACCGACGTAAACGCACGAGCAATAAATAATTATGAGTAATTAAATTATAAAAGTTTTATTTGTTAACAAAGAGAAACACCTTTTTTTGTTTTTTTTGGACGAAAGGAGAAACACCTTTTTGTTATGTTTTATATGTCCGAATTCCCTTATTCCATGGATCCCCAAATAAGTAAATTTAGGTTTTAGCAAAAAAAAAAATTTCACTTTTGAAAAAAGTCAAAGTTTTTTCAAAAAAGATAGAAAAACCTTTCAACTTTCAAATCAAAGACATACAAATGTAAAAAATTCCTTAGGAAATTCAAAAATAAATAAGAGCAATTTTGTCCATTTTGGCTTCTTTTACAAAATTTCTCTCTCCTTTGTGTTTTTCCAAAGTCTCCCTAAAAAATAACATAAGAGCATCTTCATCGGAGATGTTAAATATATTTGACATTTACACAGTTTTACACTACACGAGATATATCAAATTAAATTATTATTTTATTACATTTTAGTGTTGATTTAAATTGGAAAGATAAAGAAGGAAAAAAATTTGTAACAGTCAAATCATTCAAGATAAAGAAGAAAAAAAGAAAAAAGAAAAGTAATAAATGAAAGTAACGGTCAATTGTGTTTAAAAAATAATAAAATATTCATTTGACATATTGCTTTTAGGATGTCAAAAGTAACGGCTGAACCTCTAGCCTTCATTCCACATCAGCTTTGGCAATTCGGTTGGAGTGATATGAGATGTTATTTCTAGCCATTAAATATCTATGTGACACTTTTTACATATCGGTTAGATATGCTCTAAGAGTATGAAATTTGATTGTCCTAATCTTAACTTTATAGCTCAACATGATTGATTGAACATATCAAGTTGGGATAAACCTTATACATGAAAACAAAATGACCTAACTTAATTTCCAATTTCTTTTGATACAATGGAAATTGATACTTTGAGTGCAACGGTGTGAAAACTCGTGAGCTCTAGAACTACAAGTTCATTGTACAATAATTAGAGCATCTCCAATAGTAGTAGCAAATTAAACTTTTCAAATTAAAGTTTGTTGACCTATGTGGTAATTTGAAAATGTTTATTTAATATTTGAATATTTTTTGCTCTAACCTTGAATAATTTTTGCTCTAACTGACTAATTAATTATCAAGTAATGCAATATCATGGAAAATAACGAAAAATATGAAAACATGTGAAAAATGTCTATATATTTATTATTTGAAAATAAAAAATGCATGTTTTTAACATTTTCAAGGTAGGTTTTGTTTTTCCAAAGTAAATTTTTTGAAGAGTCAATGTCAACTTATTAGTCATGAAGAGAGAGAAATATATTGAAGCTTTGATCACTGACTTTGACAAGACTCCTGGAGAGACTTTTTATGATGTGGCTCACTTATTTGATCATCACAAAGTTGTTGAAGAGGCTATAGCATCTTTAATAGCCTCTTCAACAACTTTGTAATGCTAAAATATGTGAGTCATATTACCAAAATTCCCTCTAACAGACTTATCAAACTCATTCACAAAAGCTACAACGCTTTCTCTCTATTCATGATTGATTAGTTGACATAAACTCCTCAAAACATTTAATTTTGCTTTGAAAGAACAAAATTTACATTGAAAATGATAAAAACATACACTTTTTCTTTTCAAATAATAGACCTACTTCAAATATTTTTGTATTTTTTCTTTTTTCAATAACATTGACTAATTGAATTGAAAAGTTTGTTGGATTTACAAATTATAAAAGTAGCAAATAAACCTTTTCAAAGTGCCACGCATGTGAATAAAATTAAAATTAATTTGTTATTACTATTGAAGATGCTATAATTGGTAGGAAATAATTGACTTGTATGTCAAGTGCGACTACTAATGGTGATTGATTTAGGGAGGGCCCCATGTTGAGGGGGACAACATGTAATAAAAATAAATAAAAGAAACAGAAACAATCAAAACAGAGCGGCATTGGAAAAGTTGGCAGGAGAGACATAAATAAATAGGGTTTTACTAACTCTGTTTCCCACTACATTTGTCATTTGAGAGAGAACTGGAAGAGACGCAAGAGAATAGTCTAGAAGAACTCTACAAAGGGAGACTCTGTTGAGATGGGAAGGCCAAGGTGCTTTCTTGACATTAGCATAGGAGAAGAACTTGAAGGCCGGATAGTGGTGGAGCTTTACAATGATGTGGTGCCTAAAACCGCCGAGAATTTCAGAGCTCTCTGTACTGGTGAGAAGGGCATTGGACCAAACACTGGTGCTCCTCTCCATTACAAGGTCCTCTCTTTTTCATTGTTTCTTTCGCTGTTTATGTTTATATGTTTGCTAATGCATCTTGGGTTCTTTTTACTTGTTTTTATGATGTAAAATAAAAGACTGAGAAAGTCTTGATTGATAGCAGAACTTCTGGGTTTTCCATTTTGATTGGGTTTATGTGTCATTAATCTTTGTTTAAGGATACGTTCATTTGCAAAACTGCAACTTTTTGTTGTTGCTTTCTTTGGTGATTGTGGTTTTGTACAACCAGCTTCTTATATGCTCAGAGTCATTCGCCATTCGCCATCGGAGTACCTGTGAAGATAATCGTATCAAAGATTTTATGTTTTGTCTTAAAGAGGTTCATTTAGTTACTGTTCATCCGTAAATTTAGGGATATTTTAATAAAGAATTGTGATTGTTGATAAAGAAAAGTTAATTGTTTACCAGGGTCGATTATATGTGTTGAAAGGAAAATGAAATTTCATACAGACTGTTGAAACTCATATAAACTTTGAAGGCTGGACAATCAATGGGCGAAAAAATGATATCCTATTGTAACTTCTTGTTTTTTGCTTTTCGGTACTGTAATGTGCTTTTTCAGTTTGTATAGCGGTTCATTAGCTGCCTTTGGGATATGTTAAATGTATTGCTGTGAAAATCTTCTGTTATTCCATGTCATATCAGGGAGTTCGTTTTCATCGTGTTGTCAAAGGTTTTATGATTCAAGGGGGTGATATTTCTGCTGGAGATGGTACTGGGGGAGAATCTATATATGGATTGAAATTTGAGGATGAAAATTTTGAATTGAAACACGAAAGGAAAGGCATGTTATCGATGGCTAATTCTGGTCAGGACACCAATGGGTCTCAGTTTTTCATCACAACAACTCGCACTTCTCATCTAGATGGGAAACATGTTGTTTTTGGGAAGGTAGTTAAAGGAATGGGAGTTGTCCGTTCAATTGAGCACATAACCACTGCTGAGAGTGATTGTCCCAATGTTGATGTTATAATTGCGGATTGTGGAGAAATTCCTGAGGGGGAAGATGACGGAGTTTCTAATCTTTTCAAAGATGGTGATATTTATCCTGATTGGCCAGCTGATATTGATGAGAGTCCTATTGATCTTTCTTGGTGGATGACCTCTGTAGAGTCAATTAAGGCTTTTGGTAATGAATATTATAAGGTAATGTTCATGTTAAGTTACAGTCTATTGATCTTTCTGATATTTATTCCACCCACCGCCCCCTCCCCCCAAAAAAAGAAGAATGTTTAAGAAATAAGTGATTGTACTGAAAAGGTGATATTTACTGTTAGCAGAAACAAGACTATAAGATGGCTCTTAAAAAGTACCGAAAGTCTTTACGCTATCTGGATATTTGCTGGGAGAAAGATGGAATTGATGAAGGTAATTTGCTCTTCTAAAATTCTGTAATCTGTTTATTCCCTAATTGTATTGGACAACAAGTTTCTATCTCATGATTTACTACGCTTCCCCTGCGACTCTGCAGAGAGGAGTTCAAGTTTGAGAAAGACCAAGTCACAGATTTTCACAAACAGCTCTGTAAGTTATCTTTTTTGTGTTGGCTTTATAGTATAATATATTGATCATTTTAGTTGAAATTGTATTATGAAAGTAATTTTCTCTCTAGAATGACTATCTATTTGAATTTTGAATGTAAAAAACAGGGTATTTTAAAACAGGTTTAGATGCCAATATAAAAGGTTGGCAGGACTTGATTATTGCTTGAACATGCTACATGTTGTACTTTAAACTGTTATGATATGTACATAACCTTCCAACTTAGTTACATAACTCATTACTACTCTTCCTAAATCAATGGTTTTCTTTTGTTTGGGGAACAGATTGCAGTGACGAAGTTCTTATGCCCTTCTTCTGCTTCTTAAAAGCATATCCCATTACTGTAAATTCTTTCTTGTTTTTATTGTATTTCTAGTGCATTTTTTCTAACTACTTACCATGTTTGGTATGTTGTTCTAGGCTTGTAAATTGAAGTTGGGGGACCTGAAAGGAGCACTGTTAGACACCGACTTTGCAATGAGGGATGGAGAAGATAATGTTAAGGCTTTGTTTCGCCAGGGTCAGGTTAGTATCTTCTGTTTATGCATGTATGCCACAGTGGTCCTGTATCTGCTTAAAGTTGTATCACTCTTCACTTCCTGGTGCATTTAATTCTATATTTCCAGTGTCTTATCCATGCAGTCTGCCTTTATTGTTATTTATGAAATTTGTGAATATTGCCTTCACTATTGTTGCTGGTTGTTAAGTTACTGATGGGAAGTTTATTGGATTGCGTCCTTATATCCTGATGGCTATGTTCCTTCTATCTGTCAGGCATACATGGCGCTTAATGATATTGATGCTGCAGTTGAAAGCTTCAAAAGGGCATTGGATCTGGAGCCAACTGATGGTATGGACAGAGTCCTTTGTCATAAGCCTAAGGCTTTATTTTAATGCCAGTTTTAGTGGTTTGAGAAAAAAGATGGTGAGAGCAGTAGATAAACTGTGGAGAGTCATAAATTTGTATGTGAGTGGTAATGGAGTTGAACAATCTGGATCCAACATTTTGTTATATTTTCGATGGAGAACAACTAGCAGTCTCAAATATAAGTAACAAGAAGTTACTTGTCAAAGGAGGAGAATACTTTTGCTTTAGTACTTTGTAGCCGCCTCCTAATTGGTTGGGTTTATTAATATTCTTTTAATAAAGGCATAAATGGTCAAGTTGATGCAAATGCTTTGGAATTTGGGCTTATCTGTTTGCCGAAATTTACTGTGGTTTACGGAATTTGAGCTTACCTGTTTGCCGAAACTTACTGTGGTTTACTGTTGATCTTCAGCTGGAATAAAGAAGGAGCTTGCCGCTGCAAAGAAGAAGGTCCGTATATTAAACCAGACTTGTGAAATTTTGCGGAAATAGATGTTAGAGATTTCTTATTTCATAATTTTTGGACAGATTTCTGATAGACGTGATAAGGAGAAGAAGGCCTACAGCAAGATGTTCCAAAAGTAGCACTTAGGCAGTCAACTGGTACGTAAGATACTTTTGGTTTGATTTTTTTCACCCTATGACTCAAACATTGATATTAAGAATCACTGCCTAATGTAATTTGCCAATACAGGCTGCCTTTACCTTGAATTTACAAATGCTTTGGAGTCCAATCATACCTAGTGTCAACTGGTTCAGACTTATTTTGTCACAAGCCCTGATTTTCTGGACGGAAAATCAGGTACTGAATATTCTGTCCTCTCTATATTTCTCAAACATTGTGTGACAATATGTTAGATATACACAATGTATATACGTTGTAATGTTTTTTGACATATATCTAGCATACTATGTTGTTCGACTGCGAATTAGGACCACACATTCAAATAGGGTTTTAACACAATCAAATAGTTTAGGTTGGCAAGAAATGTATTTTGTCTATATATTTACAGTTTTTTGTAAGTTTCATATAGAATTTGGAGAATAGGTTCATTCAGCTTTTGGTTCCATATCAGTATTGCTTCTGTATTTTGTACTTCAAATTTGGTTTGTATGTTTTTGTAGTTCGTTCACGGATCTTTATTTAATTTAACACCTTCCTATTTCGCAGGTCGCTCCAGATCATAGGAGAATAAGTCTGATCCTGGCAAGAAAATTTACCTGTAAAGAATTAAAGCTTGAAGCTCATCTAATTGAACTTCTCCCCTCTTTTGTTTTTCTTTTTCCTAGCAAGACAGCTTTACTATTTGGAACTTGCAAAAAGCCAATGAGTTGTAACTTGATCAAACGTTAAACCAAACAATTTTGTCCTGTTACATGCTGGAAGCATTTGTTGATATGAAGACTGACCCAGGATTTGAAAATAGTGTGGGCTAAATTTATCTTACATACAAATCTATAAAACTTGATGGTACGAATGAATTTCATTGAAGCATGAATTTTAAGGTCAATTAGCAATTACATGATCAACTTCTCCATGAAAGGAAAAGAATTGAAAGTATTTATTATCCATTACAAAAGAAGAAGAAGAAAAAAAAATTGAACCATTTTAATCCATCCAAGCCAACTTGGAACATAAAAATGAGAAGTAGCCAAGATTTATAAGAAAAAAAAATGAATTGACATTTTATGTACAATAGAAAAGGTAAAGGCTGTTTTTTTTTTTTTGGACAGAAAAAGGTAAAGGATGTTATCTAAGAATGTGTGTTTTATGAAAAAGGCTGAGTAATAAATATTAATTAACTAAAGAAAACAAAGAAGAGATTTTCTGTGAGTGAAATCTTTGGGATGGGGTGTGTGAAGGTGTGCTTTGGTGGGCTGAATATTAATATTGAACTATAAAATATCAAATCTCCCGGGTTATAGCCCATGTTAATATGTACATAAGTCCATCCCTAGATATGATGGTGAGATAGACAAACTTTCACTTGGGCTCGATGTTTTCTTTTTTTATGGTAGATATTATGTGCTAAGTAATTAATTTTTATTGTCATCAATTATGTCAACATCAGTCGTGCAAGACTATGCATTGATTATTGCGAGCCTTGTAATAAATTCCGGTTCAACTCCTGTTATAGGCAAAAATCATGTGACCCATGCACATGCTAGTACAGCTGAAAGTTAATCTCAACTTTAGATGTATGGCAGCAAACTTTAGGGCAAATACACCAAATTTATGTGAACAACTCAGAATTAGGTTACAAATGAAAATAGACTTATCTGGTGCTTTTGTCCAAAAAGATCGTAAAACTTTCTGTATATTGCACGTTCTTTGTTTTTAAGGATCTGAGGGGAGACAGCTGGCGAACTGAGATTGGTTATAAAGTTGCATCATTCTTAGGGTTGAATTTTTGTCTTGTCAGATTAGTGCAAGTCACAAATCACCATCACTAGCTTTGCCTTGTAAAGTTGGATGTGGGGGCTCCACATCGCCGCCGTTTACCTCTTTTTCTCGTTTTTTGGTGGGTCACGTCTACCTCAGACATATCAGAGTGGTTGACAATTTAGAAGTTTTAGGTGGGACTTACCTCTCATTGGAGTGAATATTCCATGTGTCATGTAATATGTAGTACGTTGTACTGTATATAAATTATTTTAATACTTGACGAGTTTATCAAGTAGTCTAAGAACCGCTATTTTTATTGAGAAAATACTTCCCTCTTTTCCTTGTAACTTAAAGGAAGACAAGTTGAATTTCATAAAATCAAAATATTCCCGAGTGTTGTACCATGTATAGCAGCAGAAGGAGCGTGTAACAACATACTGTCGCATAAGATACATGAACGCTACCCTCAAGCAAAAGGAGCCAAAGCAAACAGGGAAAATCAATTTGGGCATGCAAAATTGTGGTTCAAGGGAACGGAGTATATCCACTCTGAAAATTCAAACGTTGTAATCATCAAGTCCGAGATCCCTTAGTGCGTCAGTAGCGGCTTCCTTACAGCTTACATGGTTTTGCTTGGCCACCCTTATGTGTTTCTCAACACCGCTATTGAGCAGAAGAGTTCTGTGCAGCGAAAAAGATGGCGTCGGAACAGTTAGGTTAAAACGAACGCACAAATTAATGGCATGCATAATATGATTGAAAATATGTGATACTGATACCAAAAAGAGAGGGAGATGGGTTTATAACAAAAAGACTTGCCTGTTGGCTGCATTTCTTGCGACCAGATTCCGGATCATGAGACAGGAATTCTTCTGCATTTGCTGTGCTGCAGGAAACTTCTGCATAGCTTGGAGGGCAAGTTCTCCAGCCCCAGCTTCAATGGCACGTGCAGCATTTTCTGGGGACCTTAAGGAGAGTACAGAAATAACAGCCATGATCTGTGGAAATAATTAATGCAAAGGTTGAGCTACGGAATAAATGTAAGACTGAAATGAAGATCACATCACAGTTAGAATTAGTTGCTCGGGAAGTCATTACAACATTATTCTCGCGAGGATCTGATCACTAATAATATTTTGTTCAGAATTCTTGCAAATAATACTTAAACAGAGAAGAAATAGCACTTTGCCGTTAATAAGCATGTTTTGATTTCAGGTATGTTAATAAACATGTTCAAACTGCCAGATCTAGAGCCATTAAAGCCATTCAATCAACTGTACAGTGTCAGACACTACTAAAACCTAACATGCATTCGAGAACAGGGGAAACAATTAACAGTTGAAGCACTCAGATAATACAGCTAACATCTAACCACATAATGGCATATGAACTCGGAATTCAATTGAATTGGTACCTCAGCCACATAATTAGTCCAAAAAATATGCAAATTCAATATGAAACAATTGCAGTTTCCTTACCTCTTGCAGGACAGATGGGTCATCAAAAAATCTAGCCGACAGTTTAATTAGCCTATCCATACCCTTCTTCTCAACAATTGCTGTCTTATTTGCGTCACTTCCTGCCAACTAAAATATAACAATATATAAGAGGACCTAACAAGCTTCACCAGACAGTAGCATGTGCAATTTTCTAAGTAATACTGACAAAGGCAACTCAACGCATCTACCACTTTGTAATTAATACCAAGAGTTTATATAGCACAAAGCAATAGATAATGTATTTACTTCCAAGAATTGCGGTCCAAGAGTTCTAGATAAAACCTTTAAACTGCTTTAAATCTTCACACTGTCAGTAAAATAGGTTTTTCTCTTGTGACCTCCAATTGCTCACATATGAGTTATTAAAGAATGAATGTGAGAGGTACACCGTGCCAATGGTGTCTCAAAAGAAAAATAGAAAATAATTTCACTTAATCAAGGTTATAAATGTGATTTAGACCTTGCAGAGCAAAGAACAGCAAACTTTAGCAACGGTCTTGTTGCCTTGTTCACTGCTGTCATCAATACAAACTAGAACAGCATCAACTCCACCATTTTCGGAAATGGAGGTGCATATTTCATCCTGTGGAAAAATGAAGACCAATAATTAAAGGAATTAGAATAACAAAATATAGTGTACAACATATCACATTTGTAATTAGTAACAATCCATATACAAATTAGATGAAGAGGCTAAGATTGTATCCCCAATCAACATACTATAAGTTGTTACTGCTATGAGACATATTTGCATGAGATATAATGACAAATAAAAATATTTTAAAAAAAACCTTTCCATTATATGAAAATAAGGGATTGATCCGCCTAACAAAGTCTAAATTGGAATTCCAAAATGTTTCACACTGACTAAAATATAAAAGGCCATACAATTGTAATTAAAACAGCACTCTAAATTGGCATCACATCAGATAACATTCTTACATTGACAGCAACAGCCTTCAAAGCGATGCTTGCTGAAACAAGACTAGATGAGCTAAGCCCTGCACGTATTGAGTCAACTAGAGCTCCGGCAATTCCAATTTTGGCAAATTTCCGGGCATAACCAAAGACCTGAAATTCACAATATTGTTTTTATAAGGAATGTGTCCTCTTTTGAATTTGTAGCATGTGACACTTGACTTAAAAAGGTTTGCCTCACTGCAGAAGCTTCTGGAATTTTGCAATAAACCTCAACTTACTTGCGAAGCCAAAACGCGATTATCATCGGGTGTTAAGAGAACCCGTATAGCATCATATATGCTCTGAATGCTGGCTTCCCTTTTTACACTCAATACTCGCAGAATGAGCTCCTCAATCTTCAACTCTATGAATAGCTCTTTTAGAACCTCATTACCCGTTGCAGCCGCAGCAATGACAGCAAAACCACTACTCAATATGTCTATATTCTCAAATCCATCAGTTATAATACCCACCACAAGCTTTGGTCCATCACTTGCCCTAAACGTTTCTCTACTTTGTAAATCTACAAATGAACAAAAGCCCAGAAATTACGCACAACATACATATAATGATTTTTTTAAATAAAAAAAAATCAAATTTCACAAGAAACTAAAGAAGCCAATTTAACCATCATACCATGAAGCAAAAAAGCCAATGCCTTCAAAGCCGAAACAATAGCATGCTCGCACCCCTTTTGAACCTTATAACATATAGAACAAATTATTTCAACCCCTCCATTTCTAGAGGCAATTGCTGCATTTCCAGAACCTTCGGAATTACAGAGCTCTGTAAGTTTATTAAGTAACTCCACCGTCTCATCGTCGATTTGATTGCTTGGACTGGCATTCAACTGGTTCAATCTATCCAAACAATGTATCACAGGGTTGTCCTTCACACTACCCTCTCCCGGGACACAGGTGACAATCCCTGTAACACACAAAGAACCGAAAATTACACAACGAAATGAAATAAACGCTACACTTACTGAATTGGGTCTGTTTGGTTTCCGAGAAAATGCGGGAAATGAAATGCAGGCAATTTGATTTCACTCAATCACTCTGTTTTTTTTTCTTCCTCCTACAGTTCTTCGAAACCAAAACGAATCTTATTGGAGAGATTGGGGTAAGAGTAGTGTACCAGAGAGATCAACGCCCTGGAGAGTTAGGGTTTGGATGGCATCTTGGAGGGCCTCGGTGGGGTCCATGCCGAGATCGTCCATGTTCTCCTTCACCACCTCGTCGAAGGCCTCCTGAGAGATCGAACGGACCGCGTTCTTCGGTGGGCCCATCGCCGATGTTTCCGGCACCGTCCGATCGGAAATACGGACTTGGTGTTGGGGATGGTGGTAGTAGAGTTGTGGAGAGTTGAGAATGGAGAGTGTGGGTGGCAAAGAAGGCAGCGCGCCGATTTGAAAATGAGGGGATGGTCTGAGATTTGATTTGAGGGCTGATGCCGAGGTGACTTGTCTGTGATCAAAATTTTCTCACAACCAATTATGTTACTCCACCTGTCCAAAAAAAAGAAGAAGAAGAGAAACATTCCTTTCACTTTCCTTTTAAGTGAAAATGATTGGTTGTTGTGCGCGTGTACATAGAAAAACTTGCTTAAAGCCAATCGGGTGTAGCGAATGGAAAAAAGGCATTGACTTGCAGACAATCTCATATTTGAACTATCATGACACGTTCATAATGTGTATGTGAAAAACCTCTCTCTTGATTTATAGTTATGTTTGACATATCATATGCTCGACTCTCGTTCTTTAAGATTTGTAAAGGTCTTATTGAGAAATTTTTATTTTTAATTTTAACATCATCTAACATCGGCGTAATGTTACTAATTTACTAAAATTCTAACGTGCTATATTCACGCCAAAAAGTTAATATCGACAAAGTTAGCACATGGAAGCCTTTTCATATGATGCACAAAAGTTACAAGTTACAACAAATTTTGGAACCAACATTGTGTAATTTGGTATAATAATCATATTCCAATCTTGAACCTTCATTAATTTACAATGTATGAATCACTTCTATATTATCTGTCACACACATTTGTTGGTATTAAAAATTAGAGATAATACTTGGTAAACTGCTCCTTTGCTAATGTCATTGTCATGTCACACAATCGTATAGCATGTCTCTGTGGTTTCTAATTATACACATGACTTTCATGATTAAAAAAAAAAAAAAAAAGGGAATAATTATACCAAGACTTTTTACCCAAAGAAAAAAAATATATTATAGCACGACTTGTCTAATTTGTGGATGTCATCATCATGTCACAGAATCGTTATAGCGCAACTATTTCCCTCGAGCATCCTCAACTTCTATTAGGCCGCAGTACTTACTCGTTTTCCCCAACACAAGAATGATAAGATCTATTAAATATCTTCTTTAGTTCGTTTAAAATCGCAATGCTTAAATTTTCATTGGCAATGACTTGGACTAATTTTTTTTATATATATTTAGTATAATAATTTCAATCTACATTTTTCTTTTTCGAACAAAAATTTAAGGGAGATTTGCTACTCTCACTATCAACACCTAAACAGACCCACAAACACAAGTTATAAGGACTTATGCTTGGCACCCAACTACCAATTGTCACCAATATAAATTTATATATAAAATTATAAATAGTGCACCAACAAGAATTGCTGACAGCGGAATTCAAACACTGTTGGGCAGTGGGGTTATACAAAGTGCATGTAACCTTATCACTTGAACCAACCCTTGTTGGCAATTTCAATCTACTTTCAAACTCAAAAGAAATAGTTAAAACGATTACCCATTTGCATTTGGTTGACTGTCCTCTATATTGATGGAGAAAATTCCTCCTACTCTCACTCAATCACCAACCCATTGTCTCCTTGTCATTCATTTTCAGAATTCTTTTAAATCCTTTTTGCTTCATTTTAAAAAAAAAATTTATAAAGATTTTGCAATATGTTAAAACCTAATAATTTGTTAAAATTAAAAAATTCAAATGATAAAGTGATTTTATCTCTACATCCAAAAGCTGAGTTTGATTCTTACATTCTGCTTCCTTAGAATCAAAACATTACTTATTAAAAGGGCAGAAATTATGAGCACCAACAAAACAAATATTCAACTCTCTCCATTAGAAAAGCATAAAAATTTATTTTGACCTCCCAAGCATGAAATTGAGGTCAGAGAGGGAGAAAGAGACATTAGTGGAGGACTAACTTAGGGAGACTTGAGCTTAATAAGAAGCATTACAACTGACAACATGTTTTCTTTGTCTTACCAACCAATTTTGAAAAGGGGTCAATTAGGCCGTTTTGCACCACTCCATCTGCCTACATATAAGTACCCATAGCCAACATTTGAATTCACAATCTCATTCTCAAGTCTCATCCTCTCAACCCTCTAAAATTTCCATCTATCTTCCTTCTCCTTGAGTTGCATTTGAAAGTGAATAATGGGTTCCCATTATTTTGCACAAGCCCTAGCTATGGTGCTAGTTGCTTCAATGCTGGCAGTCGGCTTAGCCAACAAGGATTGGCAACATGGCAACTACACTGGTTGGGGATTCAACCATGACCCATATCACCTCAACGAGACCAAAGGACCTAACAAAATCACAGTTGGTGGCTCAGAAAACTGGCATTACGGATTTGACTACAAACAATGGGCTTGGAAGAATGGCCCATTTTACATCAATGACACTCTAGGTGAGTTCGCAACTTTTTGTTCATCTTTAGCTTCCTTAATCCTTTTTGGGGAAAGTAAAAAGCTTGCTTCTGTTCAAGGATGTTTAAGTTCACTAGCATGCTGCATGCTCTAATTATACATATGAAATGTTGTCTTCTATTGATATCTGTAAGTTGCTCAGTTACGCATATTACCTATATTGACAACCTGATAGCACAACATAACACGTGAAACTATCAAGCAATAGAAAGTTCCGTTAGTTACATTTGTCATAATTGCATTAATTCTACTGTGCAATTTGCTTCACTATAAGCAACCCTTTTTCCATGATATGAACATGCAGTTTTCAAGTATGATCCTCCAAATGACACCACACGTCCTCATAGCGTGTACTTGTTCCAAAACCCTTGGAGCTTCATGAAGTGTGATTTAAGCCAAGCCAAGATGGTGGGAAAACCGACACAAGGAGGTGGAAAAGGCTTTGAGTTTGTGCTCAAGAGTTGGCAGCCTTACTACTTCGCTTGCGGCGAGCACGATGGCCTCCATTGTAAGGACGGACTGATGAGGTTTGCCGTCTTCCCAATGTTTCGTGGCTGGCATTACTGATCTTCTGGCAATGGAGCATTTCTAATTTTCATAATTATGTTCATTACTTTTTGAGCAAATAACAAGACTTGGTGTGCTAGTTTTGAGAGAGTATATAGTTGATAATTTCATAATTATGAATTATTGTTTAATTAGTGTAAGATATAATACATTATATGGTACGTGTGCCTTTTTTTTGTAACAGAAATTTATAAATAAGCAATTAAAAATTCATTGTCTTCCTACTTTTATTAACCTTATAGGCAAACATCCATGCCAATACTCACAACAAGGACTCCGCATCCATAATACTATTAGACTACATCAATCTTGAAACGATGGCGGAGCTAGGATTTTATATTTGAGGGGGCCAAAATGTTAAACACAAAAAGTTTAGTTGTATATTTTTTTTGGCCTATTGAGTAAATTATTGCGTATAAAAGCACTAAATTGAAATGAGTGGTTTTCTTTCATAAATGTAGTATGATAGTATGATTTTACTATTATATTTGTATTAAAATACAATTTTGACAAGTATTGATTTGTGGTGAGGGGGCCATAGGCTTAAGTATAACAATTTTTCTTTGCATTTGTTACCACATCCAATATATACATTCAAAAGGGTTAAATAAATTGGAGGGGCCAGAGGGCCATCCCAAGCCTTAGTACAGCTCCGCCCTTGGTCCTAGTCATTAACTTTGTTACTCATTCAACTACTAAGTTTTTTTCAACGATTGAAATTCATAGATCATTTTTGTAAAACAAAAATAAATCTTTTATTATTAAGATATCTAATTATGATCAACAAAATAAACGAACAATGTGTTTCAAGCACATATTAAAATTACAACCATTTAATTGAAATTTAGATTGAAATAATTTATTGCAGAGATGATTCGAAGAAATTCCGAAAAAAATAAATGGTTCGAATCATTGAAAAACATGAGGGTTGCCGACTTTTCAAGCAAGCCAGCTCGTATAGTTTCTTCTCCTCCTCCTCATTTAAATTTCTAATCTTTGCTTCAAGTCAACTATTTGATAATTTGTATGGGCAACAATGGTCATACATATATATGTGTCTTGTCATCATTATAGGTTATTTCCCTTGAAAATGATTTAAATTGTTTATGCTGAGTCTCCCCAAAGTCCTTTAATCTCTTTGGGTTATTATTATAATAATATGAAGAGAGCTGTTGAGGAAATAGAAAGGTGAATGAGTGACTAGTGATGGAAAAATGAATGGCTATTTCAATCCTCACCAACTTATCTTGTTGCCCCGGTCAACAAACATGTATGAAAACCATTTGACCAAGTATATGTCCGGATTCAAAGTCTCGATAGTTAGCTCTTAGTTTTGCTGTAGAGAGAACAACATGGACGAAAGAATTTAAAGACAAATATCATATCTCTCAGTCAAAACGCCTTATTTTTCATGGAAAGCAACGTAAAAAAAGGTATTATCTTGTTGGAATTGACTGTCATGGTAGAAAGATGAAACTGTAATATTAATTTCGCTTCTGAATTAATGGTACCCAAAGTTTTGATAGCTATAACTGGCTATGCTGGCCAAATTACCCTAATGCATGCCCATATGAACTTCCACCTCTCCCCAAAAGAAGCCTGATATCTATTTCAACAAATTAATAATTTATTCAATAAAGTAATATTTTAAATTATTCTAATGTACAGAGAGGAGATTGGACTCAAATGCAAAGGAACGAAGACACCGCTCTAGACAACTGACGTAACTCATATCAACATTTCAACAAATTGATATAAAAAAGTGCTTTTGGCGCTGAGAAAATACTTCAGAACATGCCTACCTTTTGAAGGAAATCTCATTTTATTTGAAGCATCCGTTTGAACATGTATGCTATGCCAAGTTGGGTTGATCAGTCCAAATTTGCCGTGTCTTGAACATGATTAGCTAGTAAGACTCTTCCATAGTGGTTATTTATTTATTTCTCTATGTCATCGTCATGTCACACAATCGTATGCCATAGTTTTTTTCTCAAGCATGAAATACATGTTTTGCCAACTTCTTAGGCCGCAACTTTTACTCGTTTTCCCCAATATCTAGTTCGGTTAAGATCACAATGCCCAATTTTCCATTTCACATTGACTTTAGAAAAATATATATTTAGATAAGCTTTTATGCTGACAAGAAATAGTAAAAAGAGATAGCCCATTTGCGTTTGGTTGACTCCCTCTAGGTTTGAATTTGATGGAGAAAATTCCCTCCACTCTCATTCACCTTTGTCTTTCATTTTTGGAATTTTTTTTTAAAAAAAATTTGCTTCATTTTTCAGATGATTTCAATGAAATTATTGAGTACTTTTTTTTATACCGTTAATTTCACTTCATTAGAGCATCTCTAATGAATGTTACAAATGTACAAAGCAAAAGTGTATTTTTGGGTATGGTATGATTTCCATGAAGAAGAGTTGTAGTAAAATTTGCTAACCTTCTAAACGCATCTCCACTGGTTAGAGTTGTTTTTAGGGAAGTCAATTTGCGATACCTCTTTTTGTGATTTTGCACTTTGTTTGCTTTTTTTGCAATATGTGTTGCAATGTAACAATTTGTTGAAAATGATGACTTATAATTCAAATGATACTTTCATCTCCATACATATGAGGGATAGAGTTTAATTCTTACATTTTGCTTCCCTTGTATGAAAATTGTTGTTTATTAGATGGGAATGAAATTGAGGTGAGAGAGGGAAAAAAAGACACACGTGGAGGACTGACTTACGGAGACTTAAGCTTACAACTAAAAACATGTTTTCTTTGTCTTACCCACCAATTTTGAAAAGATTAGGCCGTTTTGCACCACTCAATCTGCCTACATATAAGAACCCATTGCCAACATCTTAATTCACAATCTCATTCTTAAGTCTCCTCCTCTCAACCCTCTCAATTTCCATCTATCTTCCTTCTCCTTGAGTTGCATTTGAAAGTGAATAATGGGTTCCCATTATTTTGCACAAGCCCTGGCAATGGTGCTAATTGCTTCAATGCTGGCAGTCGGCTTAGCCAATAAGGATTGGCAACATGGCAACTACACTGGTTGGGGTTTCAACCATGGCCTCAACGAGACCAAAGGACCCAACAAAATCACTGTTGGTGGCTCAGAAAACTGGCATTACGGATTTGACTACAAACAATGGGCTTGGAAGAATGGCCCATTTTACATCAATGACACTCTAGGTGAGTTTGCAACTTTTTGTTCATCTTTAGCTTCCTCGAGCCTTTTGGGAAAAAGAAAAAAGCTTGTTTCTGTTCAAGGATGTTTACGTTCACTAGCATGCTGCATGCTCTAATTATACATATGAAATGTTGTCTGCTATTGTCAGTTGAGTATCTGTAAGTTGCTCAGTTACAAAAATGATCCACATATTAACAATTTGATAACATAACATCTATAACACGTGAAACTATCGAGCAACAGAAAGTTCCTTTAGTTAAATTTGTCGTAAATACATTAATTCTATTGTGCAATATGCTTCACTATAAGCAACCCTTTTTCCATGATGAACATGCAGTTTTCAAGTATGATCCACCAAACGACACCACACGTCCTCATAGCGTGTACTTGTTCCAAAACCCTTGGAGCTTCATGAAGTGTGATTTAAGCCAAGCCAAGATGGTGGGAAAACCGACACAAGGAGGCGGAGAAGGCTTTGAGTTTGTGCTCAAGAGGTGGCAGCCTTACTACTTCGCTTGCGGCGAGCACAACGGCCTCCATTGTAAGGACGGACTGATGAGGTTCGCCGTCTTCCCAATGTTTCGCGGCTGGCATTACTGATCATCTGGCAATGGAGCCTTTCTAATTTTCATTATTATTAATTACTTTTTGAGCAAATAACAAGACTTGGTGTGTAAGTTTTGAGAGACTATAGTTGATAATTTCATAATTATTAACTCTTGTTAAGTAGTGTAAGATATAATACATTATATGATACGTGTCCTGTTTTTTGTAACCGAATTTATAAATAAGCAATCAAAAATTCATTGTCTTCCTACTATTTTTTTTTTCTTTTGTGTGAAACATTCTCTTCCTACTTTTATTAACCTTATAGGAAAACATCCATGGAATGGAAATATTCACAACAAGGACTCCGTATCCACAATACTATTGGACTACATCAACTTGTAAGGATGATAATAGGTCCACGTCATTAACTTTCTAATTTCACCACAAAATTTATTTCGATGATTGGAACTCATACATTATTTTTGAAGAAAAAAATTAGACAAATTAAAAATCATCCAGACTTCTAATTGTGACCAACAAAATAAGACCAATGTGTTTCAAGAAAACACTAAAATTAGAACCATTTAAGTCAAATTTGAATTCAAGTGATTTCTTGCAGAAATTATTTGAAGAAAGTCTTAAAATATGGTTCATTGAAAAACATGAGGGGTTGCCAATTTTCAAACAAGTATGCTCTTATAGTTTCTTCTTCTACCCCTATAAGTTCCTAATCTTTGCTTCAAGATTTATAAACCATGTTGTTTCCTTGAGATTGTTTTCTCTTCCTTTAAGTCAACTATTTGATACTTTCTATATTTTTGTAGCTTTGTTTAGGGGTGTATATGTAGATATGAGCAACAACCGTCATGCATATATTTTAGGGCTTTGTGATCATTATAGCCAAGTTAAGAATGAGATGCTAATTCTCATCTAACACATGTTGTTTGAATTCTCATTTAGAATGGTTCGTATATCAATGTCATATGATTTATGTTACCTTCATTTTATTTCAAAACAGAGCTGCAAACTTCTCTTAGTTGTCTCGTTAGACTGTTTTGTATCCAATTTTTCATCATAATTATGATGGATACATTTTAAAAAGTAAATTCCTATACAAGTTTTTATACTATGAAATTCAACATTATTTGATCCAAAAAATGTTGGCGGATCCCTATTTTTTGTTGTTGTATTTATGGGTTTACGCTGTATTATTTGTTATAAATAAAATCCATCTTTTTTATTCTTTCCTAATGGGCTAATAGCTGGAAATCATTAGAATGAGAGGTATCAGAAAGAATTTAAATTTTCATTCTCCAATATCGCTTGTATAAATAAAATAATTGAAGAAATAACTCTAGCCCAATGGGCTAAAGTGGTATTTTAGCCCTAAACCCTAAAATGATATAACAAAAATGTTTATTTAAAGGGTATAGCCGAACGGCTATACTTTCTAAGTACATTCGAATATTTTAAAAGTATAGCCGCACGGCTATACTCTTTAAATAGTAATATATTCGAATATTTTAAGGGTATAGCCGCACGGCTATACTCTTTAAATGTTAACAGGAAGCTTTGCACTCGCAGTCAGCCATTTCGCTTCTCTACCAAACTCAAGATTCGATTGGTTTTCTTCGATTTCTGCTGCTTCGTCCTACGGGTTCGGCACCGAAAAAAGACCCAACCCGCCTAGGAGGGCCTCCCAGCAACCTAGCCCCCGCCTAGCCGCCTAGCCCCCGCCTAGCCGCCTAGCGCCCGCCTAGCATCCGCCTAGCCGCCTAGCGCCCGCCTAGCCTCCGCCTAGCCTCTTCCTAGCCGCCTAGCGCTCTCCTAGCCTAACATCGCCGGTTTGTTGAAGATTTTAACGGAGAAAAATCTGATAGCGGAGGAGATTGAGGAGGTGACTGCCGTTCCGGAGCCATAGAATTGGACCATATTCAGGAGGAGATTGAGGAGGTGACTGCCGTTCCGGAAGTGAAGGAGAAGAAGAAGAGCAGAAATGCTTTGAGGAAGGGGTCGGGAGGTGAAGAGGTCCGAGCTATGCAGGTCTGCTTGCTTTTGAAAGGCGAGTTTTGATTTTTTGGAGTCTATCGTTCATTTCTTGTGTTTGTTTATGATTTAGTGTTGTCTTTGAATTATAAAATGGCATTTTTAAATTTGGCAAATTGAAAACTGAGCAGCATATAGTTTATTACAACTTACAAGGGGGTATTAACTTTCTTTTTAGTAGAGAAAGTTGTTAACTGTTGTTCTTTTCTTTTTAGTATAGAAAGTTGTTAACTTTTGTTTTTTTTCTTTTTCTGTAACTGGGTTTCTTTTTCTGTTATTTGACAGGAAGCATTGCAAAAACTAGGATTTTACTCGGGTGAGTAAGACATGGAGTTTTCCAGCTTCTCAAGCGGGACCGAACGTGCTGTGAAGACTTGGCAAGTAAGTTTCAATTATCATTAGATGTTACTATGTATAATGCATGAAGAGTAAAATTTCAGAATCATCAAGTTGAACAAAAATTTCACAACACGAAATATATATGTTAGCCAACTTGTAATATCTTGTTTGACAGACCTCCTTGGACGCCCCCCAAGATGACATAATGACTGCAGAACTTATTGAACAATTATATACGGTGGCAAAAATTTAGGGTCTGGATAACAAGGGGAGTACTCTGACTGCTACACAAAAGGTATAGCCTTCTGACGACATACCATTAGCCTTTATTAAGTGGAAGCCGTTGATGTTTTAAGTTTCAGTGCCAATATATCATTCCTCACTTACAACTGAACATAATGGTTTGGTAAGTCATTACTTGCATTCCTCAAGAGGAGCCAAAAACTTATTTGATGGTTCAATTTGAAGTGAACTAAGCCTTCATTTTCTTCAACCAGATTGTAAAGAATTGTAGCAAACAGTACTAAGTACCAACCAAGAAGCTCTGTTACTTAATTGAGAAACGGACCTGAAGCTCCGATTCTATTTTCAGTAACTCAGACATGAGGTTTCTTGGTTCCAGTTCATGAGACAATCACTCAACATGCAAATAAATATGATATGACAGTGACGTAATGTGCTGTGGTAACTGGTAACACACCGTAACTTATTTTGGATACTAATAAATGAAGCTGATTATATTGGTAAACTGATTTTGTTCTCCTGGTTGGCCTTGAGCTAGCAACCTGATCATGTTCGTATAAGCTATAGCGAACCACTACATAGGCTGAAACGTCGTAATTCTTCTAATGGTTGCGTGGGTTTTGTTGTTTAGGAAGATACAAATGGAGCTGCAGTTACTTCTGCAACAGAAATTTCAGAGGTCCAGCAAACACTTGTGAAAGGTGTTACAGAAGTAGAGGTATCTGAGCATCGTGTTTTTCTCCTGGGAGAGAACCGCTGGGAAGATTCTTCTAAACTTAGCAGGAACCACAAAAAAGGAGGTGAAAGCAAGACAATGAATACCACAACAAGGTGTCTTACTTGTCGAGGGGAGGGTCGCTTATTGTGCACAGGTACCTCCTGTCTGTCTTCCGTTTAGTCACTATATTCAAGTTTATAAACCATTGCCTTTTGCAGAAATACTCTAAATCCACCCGTACTATGTATTTGTATATTTATTTTGTTTGAACTGATTTTTAAATATAATGTTGAACACCAATGGCTTTGATGATGATATGCATTAGTTTTATTTTTGTACTTCTGCATATTTTGTTTCAACTATCCTCAGTCCCCTTGGTAGCTTATCTGTATTTCTTTGTTGCAGAATGTGATGGAACAGGCGAGCCAAATATTGAAGAACAGGTTAGAGGTTTCAAACAGAGATATTAATATTCTCATTTTCGAGCATTATCCATCCAGGATGAAGTTTTAATTATTTTGTTAAATGACAGCAGCTCTTGGATTGGGTGGAAGAGGGAGCAAAATGTCCGTATTGTGAAGGTCATGGGTTTACAATTTGCGACGTATGTGAAGGGGCAACAGTAGCTTATTTATGAAAATATCTTCCCATAAAGACGTGCAGTTTTATGCTTTAGTACATGTGTTTAATGGTAGTTCGCATTTATAAACAAATGCAGAAAATCATATGTATATTTACTGTTTATTATACAAGTCAACGGAGTCTAGCTTAGTGGAAAAGGGCAATGACTTGCAAATCAGAGGTCTCATGTTCGAACCATGACATCATAGTTGTGTGTGAGAAATCTCTCTCCCCTTTAGACTATTGCTTGTACTATATAAAAAAAAATTAATTATAAAAAAAAAACAAGTTGACGTTGTACTTGGAAATTAAAGAGAAAAATAAAAAGGGAGTTGCCAATCGGCAAATTTAATACTTGAACAATAATTCAACAGACCAATTGTTTTGAATAGACAATATATCTCCTCGTGTAATGGAAGGCAAAGCAAGGCCAAGGGTTAACAATTTTTGGCATGGAGTTACTGAGCTCTTTTCCCATCTCTCTGTGATTGTTGGCTGGGGTAACAATTTTTACCTTACTAAGATGAAAACCAAATCCAGCATGAAGTAAATTAAGTTAACCATTACTCGATAGGACGTGTTAATGCAAATAATAAACCGAGAGATTTAACATTTAACTGTTATATATATTCTCATTTCTTTATATGGTATTCTAGGAATTCTTAAAAAATTATATAAAAAAGAATAATATATTCGAGCATTTTGAGCACTAATATCGCTTGTATAAATAAAATAATTGAAGAAATAACTCTAGCCAGTAGGCTCAAATGGTATTGTAGCCCTAAACCCAATTGTTTTAACAGTACAGCCGCACGGCTGTACTCTTTAAATACATTTGAATATTTTAAAAGTATAGCCGCACGGCTATACTCTTTAAATATATTCCTCAAGAACACGAAGCTTGCACTCGCAGAGGAATGTGGTGCACGAATGAAATGAAGGGACAAATAAACGAACATGAAGTTGCACTCGCAGTTAGCCATTTCGCTTCTCTATAAGCATTTCCAAGCTTCGAAGACTCGGTCTTGAGCCTCTCTCTCAACTCAAGCTTCGATTATTATTATTATTTTTTTGGGTTTCGGCTGCTGCGTTGATTCCATTGGATTGGGCTTTCTCAATGTCTGCCAAGGCTGAGCCTTCTATCCTCTGAGTCCTTGCGCCCTCCTGGCGACGGCCTAGCCGCTCTCCTAGGCTGATTTTTAAGACACTGCGATTGGCTGAAAGTCTGAAACCCGAAATTGAAAAAATTTAGCTTCAAATTTGAGCTTGAGATTTGGCATCCAATGCCGTGAAGCACAAGTCAGGTCCATAGAAGAAGAGATCATGAGACCCTTAATTCATCTAATTCCATTCCTCTCCCTGTTTCCCACCTTATTCTCTTCTCTCTTGGCTCTTTCCCAAACGACATGTTCGCCTCACCACTCCAACGACAACGACAACAATTCCTCCCTTTGCTAACTCCAACTTATTCTCTTCTCTCTTTGCATTGACGACATGGCTCATAAGAAAAAAAATACAAAATTTGATGACTTGGTGTCTGTCTTTAGTAAAAGGAAAATGATGAAGCTATCCTATCATGGAGTTTCTATGGTCTTGCCAATAACAAGGTTCGGTTTTTAGGCCCCAATCTCAAATTCTGATGATTTATTTCTGGTTTGGTTAAGCAACAGATTGATTGGTTTGGTTCTTCTTGTTTGAAGCTTGGTTGGACTGCTTTTCATGTAAGAATTTAAGATCAAACAAGCTTTAAGTACAAACCCTGAGAAGCCATGAGAACTGGATAAAAGAGATCTTGAGCAGTAAGCAAAGGTCTTCCAATCTTTCTACACGCCTTATGCACTCCTAATATGGGGTATGACTTGTATGCTTGAATGTGTATAAGATTGGGGACCTAAACCTTGTTTTTATATGTGATTTTACCTAGGTTTCTTGCCCATAAAAGATCACCTAAATCATGCCTTCATCACCTTGTTTGGGCCTAATTTGGCACACCCAATATAAAGAAATAAAAGCCCATCTTGATTTTTGGTAGCCACCAACATTCCTTTGAAATTGGGCTAAGAATACACACTCAACCCAAAGCATTGAAGGCTCAAGCCCAAGATCTATCCAAAAGATGGAAACTTGGGCTTCAAAAAAGAAATCAGCCCATAACCTCAATCTGGGCCCGGCATGAATAAAACTAGAAATCAGAAGACAGACCCACGTGACTAATCTGAACCACAACTTTGAAATTGTCAACAATTTCAACTAGGTTAGTAGGGAGTAAATAAAAAAAATAGGCAAAACAGGAAGAGACTACTCTGAAAAAATCTGTCACCAGAAGATCAAACCCTTTCTTATAAAAATAAATTGTTTCTTCTCCAGAGAGGGTGATTCTCCCAAGAGATAAGCAGACCATGTTTTCAAAAGGAGATAAGCAGGAGGAGAGGAAGTTGTTCAAACTAGAAAATCAAACTAACCATCACGGTTTTTTAGCTCTCACAGAGAGCAGTTGGAAATTAAAAAGAGGGATAGGTTTTTCTTTCAAAAACAGGGAAGTGACTACAATAGGAAATGACTAGTGAGAGCTTATCTACTAGAATTGATAAAATCCTTTTTTTTCTTTGTATTTAAAATTGAGAGATCTTTTGAGAAATTTTGCCGCCCATTATTAAAAGAATTGCCCTACTCCAGAAAACACTTCCTATAAATATAAAGGAGGATGAACAGAAAAAAAAGGATCAATCAAACAAACAAACAAAAATCAACCAAAAGTTCAATTGAACAAAAACAAGAGAAACCAGCTTTAGATCAGAATTCCCAAAGTTTAGACTTAGAAAAATAAGTCATTCAAAACGAGATTCCTCTCGTTATAATTTGGTTCAGCAAAAGCCAAAAACAAGCAGAGCTTGAGTTTTCACAAATATGAAAATCTCAACAAATTTTACAGTGCAATTCCAGCTCATTGAGTCCTTAGCCATTTCTGCCCCTTCAGACTAAAGAAGCAGCAGTTCTGCCCGTTCAAAAGCCTCTCAAAGCTTGAAGTAGATTAAAGCTCTGCCAAAATTGAACTTTGGCATCGATTTACAGCTGAAGCTGAGTAGTTTAAGTCATTAACAGTCCAGTTCAGCACAGACATATTCATGAGTTCAGCCCGGATCAGAAGCTTCTATCCAGGCAGAAATGGAATTCCAGCCTTCTTTTTATCTTTCTAGAGTTGATTTTTTCCTTCCAAGTCTTGTAAAGGGCAGTTCTGCCTAAAAACAGTCCTCTTTATCATCATTTATTCTGGCCAGAACTACCAATCTTATACTATGATAAATTATGAAGTCCTCACCAATCTGAGGCAAGAAAAGAACTTACTTGGGAGATATTTCTCACCCAAATTCACAATCACTTATTTAGATATCAGTAACTTGGGGCGCAAGTTATCCATTTTAAAAAAGTTTGCTAGGATTCTCAAGGCTAGCAGTAGCACGCTCGCACACCAAAGAAAGCTGACTTGTTGACCAGTCAATGGTTTCCAAGCCAGTGGGGAATTTTACCCTTCCATCACAGGAGCAAAAACGAAACGGGTAAACACACCTCTAGAATCCATGACAGAATAGGATAAATATCTCATTTTATTTTATTCTTTCTTCATCTCCAAGTATTCAACTAATCAAATAAAAACTTTCCACTTTTATTCCTTAACAGATTCTGTGCCTTAAATAGATGCAAACTCAGTAAGGGTCTTATATTCTCCCATTGAGTGCTACATCTATTTAAAACACTTCCTTATTACCTGAGAATCGATTCCTTATGTGCATAGTTTGGAAAGCTCATTTGATAAGGATATCTATATCAAATTGTGTATCAAATTTCATCAACTCATATGATTGCAGACATGATTCCAAATAATATGGTATCATCCACCTACAATTACCATAAGCAACAATATCCACATAAGGTACCAACAAGTCATGGTTATGTTTGCATATATCAAAAGTGCTAAACTGTATGAAGTATATCATTCCTGATATATGAATGGTCCACTTTATAACGACTTAGTGGTTTAACTTTAACGCAGAGCTCCTTAATATTTATAAACAGTCCTTACTCATATTGCAAAAATTCAACAGAATCAAAATCAAAATACTCACTCATGTTGTCAAATAACATGAAAGCACAATACCAAAACATTTAAAATAAGAACAATACTGTTGGACTATATCAACTTGTAAGGATGATAATAGGTCCACGTCATTAACTATCTAATTTCACTACAAAATTTATTTCAACGATCGGAACTCATATGTTATTTTTGGAGAAAAAAATTAGACAAATTAAAAATAATTAAAACATCTAACTGTGACTAATAAAATAAGAACAATGTGTTTCAAGAAAACACTAAAATTACAACCACTTAATTCAAATTTGAATTCAAGTTATTTGTCACAGAAATTATTTGAAGAAAGTCCTAAAAGGCGGTTCATTGAAAAACATTAGTTTTTTCTTCTCCTCCTATAAATTCCTAATCTTTGCTTCAAGATTTATAAACCATATTGTTTCCTTGAGATTGTTATCTCAAGGATGAGATGCTAATTCTCATCAAACACATGTTGTTTGAATTCTCATTTAGAATGGTTCATATATCAATGTCATATGATTTATGTTACCTTCAATTTATTTCAAAACAGAGCTGCAAACTTCTCTTCGTTGTCTCGTTAGACTATTTTGTATCCAATTTTTCATTTGCATAAAATACATCGCGGACTGATATATCTCATAGCAGAAAAGAAGGGTTGTCAAGTGTAATGAGAAAAAAAAGGCTGTAATTGGGTTTAGTTCATAATTACGATGGATACATTTTTAAAAGTAAATTCCTGTACAAGCAATTTTATACAATGAAATTCAACATGCTTTGATCCACAAAATGTTTGTGGATCCCTATTTTTTGTTGTTGTATTTATGGATTTATCCCGTATTATTTGTTATAAATAAAATCCACTTTTTTAATTCTTGCCCAATGGGCTAATAACTGGAAATCATTAGAATGGGAGGTATCGGAAAGAAATTAAATTTTCATTCCCCATATCGCTTGTACAAATAAAATAATTGAAGAAATAACTCTAGCCCAATGGGCTAAAGTGGTATTTTAGCCCTAAACCCTAAAATGATATGACGAAAATGTATATTTAAAGGGTATAGCCGATTGGCTATACGTTCTAAATACATTCTAATATTTTAAAAGTTTAGTCGAACGGCTAGACTCTTTAAATAGTAAAATATTCAAATATTTTAAGAGTATAGCCGACCGGCCATACTCTTTAAATATTAACACGAAGCTCGCACTCGCAGTCAGCCATTTCGCTTCTCTATCAAACTCAAGCTTTGATTGATTTTCTTCGGTTTCGGCTGCTTCGTCCTACGGGTTCGGCACCGGAAAAAGACCCAACCCGCCTAGGAGGGCCGCCCAGCAGCCTAGCCCCCGCCTAGCCGCCTAGCGCCCGCCTAGCCTCCGCCTAGCCTCTTCCTAGCCGCCTAGCGCCGGCCCAGCCTCTTCCTAGCCGCCTAGTGCCCACCTAGCCTCCACCAAGCCTCTTCCTAGGAGCCTAGCGCCCACCTAGCCTCCGCCTAGCGCCCTCCTAGCCTAACATCGCCGGCTTGTTGCAGATTTTAATGGAGAAAAATCTGATAGCGGAGACAGGGTCGAGTTCCAGAGCCATAGAATTGGACCATATTCAGGAGGAGATTAAGGAGGTGACTGCCGTTCCGGAAGTGAAGGAGAAGAAGAAGAGCAGAAATGCTTTGAGGAAGGGGTCGGGAGGTGAAGAGGTCCGAGCTATGCAGGTCTGCTTGCTTTTGAAAGGCGAGTTTTGATTTTTTGGAGTCTATCGTTCATTTCTTGTGTTTTGTTTATGATTTAGTGTTGTCTTTGAATTATAAAATGGCACTTTTAAATTTGGCAAATTGAAAACTGAGCAGCATACAGTTTATTACAACTTACAAGGGGGTATTAACTTTCTTTTTAGTAGAGAAAGTTGTTAACTGTTGTTCTTTCCTTTTCTAGTGTTCGCTTCGTTTTTGGATGTAATATTTGTGATTTCTACTTGTTCTAATATAATGTTCCTATTATTTGACAGGAAGCATTGCAAAAACTAGGATTTTATTCGGGTGAGGAAGACATGGAGTCTTCCAGCTTCTCGAGTGAACAAAGCCTTCATTTTCTTCAACCAGATTGTAAAGAATTGTAGCAAACAGTACTAAGTACCAACCAAGAAGCTCTGTTACTTAATTGAGAAACGGACCTGAAGCTCCGACTCTATTTTCAGTAACTCAGACATGAGGTTTCTTGGTTCCAGTTCATGAGACAATCACTTAACATGCAAAGAAATAAGATATGACAGTGACGTAATGTGCTGTGGTAACTGGTAACACACCGCAGCTTATTTTGGATACTAATAAATGAAGCTGATTATATTGGTAAACTGATTTTGTTCTCCTGATCATGTTCGTATAAGCTATAGCGAACCACTACATAGGCTGAAACGTCGTAATTCTTCTAATGGTTGCGTGGGTTTTGTTGTTTAGGAAGATACAAATGGAGCTGCAGTTACTTCTGCAACAGAAATTTCAGAGGTCTAGCAAACACTTGTGAAAGGTGTGACAGAAGTAGAGGTATCTGAGCATCGTGTTTTTCTCCTGGGAGAGAACCGCTGGGAAGATTCTTTTAAACTTAGCAGGAACCAAAAAAAATGAGGTGAAAGCAAGACAATGAATACCACAACAAGGTGTCTTACTTGTCGAGGGGAGGGTCGCTTATTGTGCACAGGTACCTCCTGTCTGTCTCCCGTCTTAGTAACTATATTCAAGTTTATAAACCATTGCCTTTTGCAGAAATACTCTAAATCCACCCGTACTATGTATTTGTATATTTATTTTGTTTGAACTGATTTTTAAATATAATGTTGAACACCAATGGCTTTGATGATGATATGCATTAGTTTTATTTTTGTACTTCTGCATATTTTGTTTCAACTATCCTCAGTCCCCTTGGTAGCTTATCTGTATTTCTTTGTTGCAGAATGTGATGGAACAGGCGAGCCAAACATTGAAGAACAGGTTAGAGGTTTCAAACAGAGATATTAATATTCTCATTTTCGAGCATTATCCATCCAGGATGAAGTTTTAATTATTTTGTTAAATGACAGCAGTTCTTGGATTGGGTGGAAGAGGGAGCAAAATGTCCGTATTGTGAAGGTCATGGGTTTACAATTTGCGACGTATGTGAAGGGGCAACAGTAGCTTAGGTATGAAAATATCTGTATTAATGGTACCCAAAGCTTTGATAGCTATACGGTTATACCTGCCTATTAACCTAAAGCATGCCCATATGCCTCAATTCAAACCCAAAACTTCCACACAACTCATGAGAGACTCCTTTTCGTTCTTTATATTGTTCCAGTCCAGGTGCTTATAAATATAATATTTCTCTAATTCAACAAATTAATATTTTATTTTATCAAGCAATATTTTAGATTATTTTAATGTACAGAGAGGAGATCGGACTCTAATGCAAATGAACGAGCATATCGCTTATTTCAACAAATTAATATTTTATTTTATTAGGAAATATTTTAAATTATTTTATTATACAAAGAAGATATCAAACTTTTATGCAAACGAACGAACATACCCCCTTATTCAACTGACCTAACTCATATACATTTCAACAAATTGATATAATAAAAAAGTGCTATGCCATGCCAAGTTGAAGCATCTGTTTGAACATGATGCTATGTCAAGTTTTGAACATGTATGGTGATCTTAGTCCAGGACAACAAATTAATATTTTATTTTATCAAGCAATATTTTAGAATATTTTAACTTACGGAGAGGAGATCGGACGCAGATGCAAATAAACGAACATACCACTTATTTCAACAAATTATTATTTTATTTTATTTTAAATTATTTTAATATACGAAAAGGAGATTAGACTCATATGCAAACGAACGAACATACCGCCTTAGTCAACTAACCTAACTCATATCTACATTTCAATAAATTGATATAATAAAAAAGTGCTATGCCGTGCCAAGTTGAAGCATCTATTCGAACATGTATGCTCTGTCAAGTTTTGAACATGTATGATGATCTCAATCTAGGTCAACAAATTAATATTTTATTTTATCAAGCAATATTTTAGATTATTTTAATATTTAATATACGAAGAGGAGATCGGACTCAGATGCAAACGAACGAACATATCGTTTATTTCAACAAATTAAAATGTTATTTTATCAAGAAATATTTTAAATTATTTTAATATATGAAGAGGAGATCGAACATACCGCCTTAGCCAACTAACCTAACTTATATCTACATTTCAACAAATTGATATAATAAAAAAGTGCTATGCCGTGCCAAGTTGAAGCATCTGTTCGAACATGTATGCTATGTCAAGTTTTGAAGATGTATGATGATCTCAGTCCAAATTTGCAAAGTCTTGAACATGGTTAGCTAGCAAGAATCTTCCACAATGGTTATTTATTTCTATATGTTATCGTCATGTCACACAATTGTATTGTATGGCAAAGTTTTTCCCTAAATCCAATACATATTTTTCTAACTTCTTAAGCCGACTTTTACTCGTTTTCCCCAATATCTAGTTCGGTTAACAATGCCTAATTTTCCATTTCACATTAAAAACATATTTAAATAAACTTTTATGCTCAAAAGAAATAGTAAAAAAGGATAGCCCATTTGCATTTGGTTGACTCCCTCTAGATTTGATGGAGAAAATTCCCTCCACTATCATTCACCTATCTCATTCATTTTTAGAAATTTTGTTTTGCTACATTTTTCTTCATATCATTTCAACGAAATTGCTGGATATTTGTTTTTATACTGTTAATTAAACTTCATTGGAGCCTCTCTAATGCATGTTTCAAATGTACAAAGCAAAAGTGTACTTTTGGGTATGTATATTTTCCGTGAAGAAGAGGTACGGTAAAATTTGCTAACCTTTCTAACAACATCTGCAGTAGTTGGAGTTTCTCTTAGGGAAGTCAATTTGCGATACCTCTTTTAGAATTTTGCATTTTGTTTATTTTTCCCCCTTAAAATTTTGCAATATGTGTTACAACTTACAACGTAACAATTTGTTAATTCGAATGATACTTTCATCTCTCTACATTCGTTGAATAGAGTTTAATTCTTACATTCTTCTTCCCTTGAATCAAAAGAATTGTTTATTAAAAGGGAATGAAATTGAGGTTTGAGAGGGGCAAGTGGAGGACTGACTTAGGGAGACTTGAACTTAATAAGAAGCATTACAAATTAACATCATGTTTTCTTCGTCTTACCCGCCAATTTTGAAAAGGGGTCATTAGGCCGTTTTGCACCACTCAATCTGCCTACATAAGAACCCAGCGCCAACATTTGAATTCACAATAATCTCATTCTTAAGTCTCCTCCTCTCAACCCTCTAAATTTCCTTCTCTCTTCCTTCTCCTTGAGTTGCATTTGGAAGTGAATGATGGGTTCCCATTATTTTGCACAAGCCCTAGCAATGGTGCTAATTGCTTCAATGCTGGCAGTCGGCTCAGCCAACAAGGATTGGAAATATGGCAACTACACTGGTTGGGGTTTCAACCACCTCAACGAGACCAAAGGACCCAACAAAATCACAGTTGGTGGGTCAGAAAACTGGCATTACGGATTTAACTACAAACAGTGGGCTTTGCAGAATGGCCCATTTTACATCAAGGATACTCTAGGTGAGTTTTCATCTTTAGCTTACTAAGAATATTGACAATATGATAACATAACATGTCTAGGAACAGAAAGTTCCCTCGCTTATATTTGTTAATTATAACTTTTTTACGCAATTTGCTTTACTTTCCATGATGAACTTGCAGTTTTCAAGTATGATCCCCCAAATGACACCACACGTCCTCACAGCGTATACTTGTTCCAAAACCCTTGGAGCTTCATGAACTGTGACTTAAGCCAAGCTAGGATGGTTGGAAATCAGACACAAGGAGGAGGAGAAGGCTTTGAGTTTGTGCTCAAGAAGTGGAAGCCTTACTACTTCGCTTGCGGCGAGCACGACGGCCATCATTGTAATGAAGGACTGATGAGGTTCATCGTCTTCCCAATGTATCGCGGCTGGCATTACTGATCTTCTGGCTATGGAGCCTTTCAAATGTTCTTAATTATTAATTAGCTTTTTGAGCAAATAACAAGACTTGTTAAGCAAGTTTTGAGAAAGTATAGTTGATAATTTCATGATTGTTAATTCTTGTTATCTAGTTTAAAGATAAAATACTCTATGAGTACGCGTGTGCCTTTTTTTTTTTTTTTTTTTTTTTTTTTTGTAACAGAAGTTTTTAATCAAGCATTCAAACATTTGTTGTCTTCCTACGTTAAATTATTAACCTTATTAGCCAAACCTCCATGCAAACATTCACAAAAAGGACTGCATCAACTTGACATTTTCTGTTTACTAATTTATTAGTTTATTTTTATGAACTTGGATTGGGACGTCCAAGAGCAGCTAAATACGCCTTCTGTGTGAGAGTCTCTGGCCATTGGAATGGTTTGCATGATTGTAGTCTTGATAACCCAAGACTACTTTTCTGTCATCTTCACAACAAGCAAGGAATTGCAACAAGCTGCTGCAAAGCTAGCATATTTCTTCTTGTAATTGCGATGGTTCTTTCCTCAGTTCCCTCTCTGTATGCAGGACCCTTCCCCTTTTAATTTTTACTGGATTCGTGATTTCAGGTGTTGCTATTGGAGGTGGATGGCAAGGACTGGTGGGTTAGATCAACTTGGGTTGTTGGTTATTACATATTTGGCCTCCCACTTGGGTTCCTTCTTGGTTATAAAGCAAACTTGGTAGTGAAGGTAAAACATTTCAGTCTCAGTTCCACAGCTAAATTTTGTGAGATTCTTTCGTCTTCACGGTCTCTAATCTTTGTTTTGTCCAGCTAGTTTTAATACCAACATTTGTTCATTGTTGTAGGGAATTTGGGGAGGCATGATATGTGGAACTGCTCTTCAAACGTTGCTTCTTTTGATAGTGCTTTATAGAACCAACTGGAACAAGGAGGTAAGTTAAAACTGCTATAAAAATCGATAAGGTCTTCAGCATTCTCGGTGAAAGGCAATAATCGTAATTTTTTTTCTTGGCAGTTGAACCATCTTCGGAGTGAATGAAGAAGTGGGAGAGACGTTGAAGATGAGAAGATAGCTAACAGTATATGAAATTGATCCTAAAAGAAATTCATATCATGTTTCTCCTCAGACTAGATAGTCCTGAGTACCTAAAATCTCCCTGCTTATATTGGCCTGAATTTCTTTGGAAGTCATGTTTTAGAGTCGCAGGGTGCTCTTCCAATTTTTGTGTTGACACAATTTTAAACCGACATGATTTGTTCCCGGCAAGAGAGTTTACCTGCCGACCAGTGGTACAGAATTTACCCGTCAATTTCATTCAACTGGTTTATCTGATTTCCCCTTTTCAGGGTTCTCTTTCATCATCAATGTAGTCAATTTCTTTTAAAGTAAATTGCTTTCAGCCAAAATCTGACAATTATGCGCACAAAACCCTAGTGCACAACGGAAACATAATAGAGAAAAAATTGGCGACCAATCTAATGCAACATTAATACAACAAATTTTGCATTCCACCAAATGATGAAACGGAACCATTGTATAAAAAGCAAAATTGTCTCAAACTTGGACCATGAGTTCGGAACTACATAATAGGCAACTCTAACTAGCAAGTAGTTAAAACTAGAAAGGATAACTTATCAAACCATGCTGCTCATGGGTGATCATAATATACATGGCCAACAATTCTAAGCAGCAGTTTTTGACTTCTTTGGTACACGATAGCCACCAACAACACAAGCATGGTCGCGCTCGAAAGGTTCAAGAGTGACTTGTTCCATAGGCTTAAACTGATCTGCCTGCAGCCTCTTCACCTCCTGTTGGAACACTGCTTCCGCAGGCGAGGTTGAATCAATGCAATTGGCCTGAAATGAAAAACTACATTTATCAAACACTGGACTATGCAGCGAGTGGCAACTTTCCACCGTCTAGCTTGACTTAAACGAATATAATAGGCTAAGGGTCATCATGTCTTATGACAAAGACTACTGAGAATTTTGAAAGCAAACCTTAATTGAGATAACGAAGTGACCTCCAGCTTTCAGAAAATACGACGCATTCAATGCTACAATCCTAGCCTGCATAATCATTAAAGAGAGCAAACAATTTTTAGATGCAAATAACTTAAGTGAGATAGGAGAAACCGGTGGCAAGAGATTGTGGCCAAGCCTAAAGCCTCAACCCTGAGTGCCTTGCCAACACCATCATAACATTGACGTGCAGACTACCAGAAAAACAAGAGAGAGAGAGAGAGAGAGAGAGAGAGAGAGAGTGATAAGGCAAGCAACACCACAAAATCAACTACTTGACATCAGGAGCATCAGAAACTCGACTTACATCACCCATTATGTCTTGAAGGGGAATCCAAGTACTTCGTCACATACTCAATATAGTAGTAAACACAACTTCAACAAATACATTTAAGGGACATAAAGAAAATAAATAAATAAATGCATGACTCATTGCATTGAGCCATGACAAGAATGGGAAGAACAAGTATCTAGTTCCAAAACAAGAATGGGTAGAACAAGTACATACAAAGCCTTGTAAGCAAAATGGGAATAAGCATGAAAAAAGGTTGTCTTAATACACTGAGCCGAGGAAAAAGACACAAACAGAAAGGGCATTTCAAAAGACAAACGCATTACGCATCAGAAAACTCGAGCTCACATCATACATGACATCCTGAAGGGGAATCCGAGTTAACTCATCACATGCGTGAAAGAAAACACAAAACAATTATGCTTTGTCGAAAACATAAAAAATCAACTCAGATAATTACAAATGCAACACAGGTGATATGAATTAGTAAATCAATAAGCTAAAAGAACAAACCCACATGAAGTATGGAAATCCTTGAACTTTCAAAAGCCTCAAGAAAAGGCTATGCCACCAGCTCAACCAAAGAATACCACCCCGAGTCTCTCCATATTTAAAGTTTGCTACTAGCAAAGACAAGAATTGCAAGAAACAAACCTGATCAGGTTGTGCAACATCAGAAAATATCACATCAACCATGCCAACAAGCATACGATATTTAGCTGGATGTCTGGCATCTTCAATAATGGGTATAACATTCGTGCGCTTCTTTGCCATGTTTACCAAGTCTCTGCCACTTCTATGAGAAAACTCCACTGCATAAACAACTCCAGTCTACAAAAACAATAGCAGTTATAAGAATCTATTATCAGCTTAACCAATTAAGAACTGCAGTATTAAAAATAACACTTACAGGGCCAACAATGTCAGACACATGAGACACTGTGGTGCCAGAAGCAGCACCAAGGTAGAGAACACGAGCACCAGGTTTCTTCATCGACATACAGAAACAGAGAGATTATAAACTCAAAATCATGGATAATAGACAAAACAGAACGGAGGAAAACCTGGAATCAAAACTTACAATCCATATATCATCAACACCACCGAGAATAGCAGCAGCCAACTTAGAACGGAAAGGGTTCCAAATTCTATATTCAACTTTTGTTCCATCCTCATCCTGAAAGGAAGAAAATGCACTTTAAGGTGAACTTCAAATTTTTTATTACATTCATCAACCATGAAAATAAAAATGGCAAGACACAGCAGGAACCAATAAGTCATCCGTAAAGCTAAATCAATTGTGTTGAAGGCATTTAAATAAGAAAACTAACGAAAGAAACCGACCTGAACAGATATCCTCTTCTCGTTGTAGACAGCTTCCCCGGGCACCATATTCTTAGTTACAAGAGCATCTTCTTTACCCTTGGCAATGAACACCCCTTCATGTCTGTGAGGCTCGACCACAACTTTGTTTCCACCCTTCATTCCTCCCCTTCCCCCCCCACGGCCTCTTCCTCCACGGCCTCCACGATCACCGCCACGTCCTCCGCCACGGCTTTTAAAGGCACTACCACCTCTGTCACCGCCTCTTCCACCACCACCAAACCTGCCTCCTCCTCTTCCACCTCTCCCTCCATCACCCCTGCCCCTGAATCCACCACCGCTACCACCACGACCTGCACAAAACCCACAAAACTATAAGGTCTGCTGCTCAAACTTCCCAACAATAAAAACCATAAACTCAAAAAAGTAAAACAACTCAGAAACTAAGAACCCACATGAAGAGTGTATAGTAAAGAACTGAAAATTTATTTATATTTTGTTGAAAACAAATTACCCAACAAAAAAAACCCATTCAGAAGAACCAAACCAAAAGCATAAAATGTATTCTCAGCAGACTACACAGATAAATCATATTTTGCTTTACCTCGAGGAGGTGCCATCTCTGCGATTGTTGTTGTGAGCAAACGGCTATGGAGATGAGGCGGCAGCGAGAATATGGAGATGAGGCGCAGCGAGAATCTTTATAATGTGCGCTTTAGGGTGTTTTTTTTTTTTTTTTTTTTGGTGGAAAGAGCGCTTTAGGGTTTAGGGTTTTGATGTTACTGTCCTACTTGGATGCGTGTGATGTGGTGTGGTGATAATTTACTCAGCAGTAACTCGCTGCGGTAACTCGGGCGATAACATGGGGCCAAAGCGGCCCAAACAATGCATTTATCTGCTTCTTTTACTCAACAAGCTATATGTAGCCCAAGGCCTATAACACTAGAAAACGGAGCATTATGTTGAGGGATTCAATTCAGCCTTGAAATGCCAATAGAGTCAGCTCAGTGAAAAAGAGCCTTAACTTGTAGAAAAATGATTTTATCATCGAATCTTAGCAGTTTGTGTGTGAGAAAATCCATTTTCTCCTTCCTAACTTTGACAACAACAAAAAAAGAATTCATTCATGCAATAATAACTCTAAAATTAATTGAATGGATATTAAGGACCCCCGCATTCTAACCACTCATTACAGTGCTAGAAAACATACACAAATGGTTAAATGATTTATGGATCTTTGTGTTTCTTATTCTTTTGGGAGGGCCTCTAACTAGTATGGATTGATTGACAAGGCCCAATTTAAATGGGTCAGTCTGTTAGGCCTTCTCTAACTTAACTCTTCTGGAATTTAGTGAATTTTCTATCAAATTTTTCCCTTTTCATCTAACTTGTCGACTCATTCACGACCATGGGTATAGCATAGCCTACACCATGTGTGCTCTTTGCTCATGCCTCATGTGATTGGAAAGACGAACCCTAGTCCCTAGCTATAACCATGTAGAACTCATAGGATGGAATCATGACCTCCCTGTAAAAATACAATGATCAAGAACCAAATCTGTCTAAATCTTTGGGTTGGTTGGCAGTTGGGAAAACGTTCCTTCATGGACCATTATGTGATTAATGAAGAGGGTACATAGTACCCCTTTTGATTTTGTGGTTAGCTTCCCTTCACCTATTTTCTTGTGGTTGTGGTTGGGGTTAGCTTTCACTCACTACTAGATGGTAGACCAATGTATTTGGAATTTTTTTTTTTTATCAAATAAAAACTTTATTAGTTAAACTTCAACGGTAAAATCAAAGACATTCTGAAAGCAACAAACTAACATCCTGAAAGCAAAACCAACTAACATCCTGAAAGCAAAACCAATGCAGACAAAAGCCACACTAAAACTACTAGCCCACAATAGCACAATTAACTAGAAACCTAAACAAAGCTCACAACCCCAACATAACCAAAACCCTAAAACAACTCTTGAGCTTAGACGACCCTAAAATATGATTTTCAGCAATCTACTTGTGCATAAAAGTGAACAAATAAACGAAAACAACAACCTTGTCAAAGAACAATTGGGTTATTTGCAGTAACCTTTGTCAAAGATAATGTAGAATGAACTTTAGAGAACATGAGTGAGTGGCGTTAGGGAGAGGGTTTTGGGAGCATGATTTGATTGAGATTATAGACTAAAAGGGGTGATGGGGAACTTCAATCTAACCATAGCTCAGAAGAAACCACAACTAAGAGTTTTTTTATTCAAAATGCCCCAATAAACTTATTCACTAACCTAAAAGGAAAAGACGAGAAGAGAGGGGAGGAGGGGTAGTGACGCCTCTTCCTCCTCCCCCTCTATGAAGTTTTCCTTTAGAACTCATTGAAAAAAAGAGCGGCTAGAATTTCTTGGGAGAAAAAATTACCAATGTATCTGGATTTAAGTTGGCTTCCAAGTGATTTATTCTATTCCCCCTAGCATGACCATTGTGTGTGAAAGTGGAAAATTATCAATGGAAATTACTATGATGTGCAATATGGACGTAACAAATGTGATAATGGGGACTTTGTAAGACCTCTACATAGCCTTTGTCTCCGCACTAACGATCACAATCAAACATCATCATCTTTGCACCTCTTTTTTGAAAAACAAATAATGCTTTCTCTTGCTAAATGGGCATTGCTTATTTGCAGTGGCGAAGCCAGAATTTCATGTGTGTGGGGGCCTCTCACAAAATATAAACAATAAAAAATTTGAACTCACAAAACATACCAAGACATCAAAAATCATATTATGTATTCATTACAATCATCATTGTTCTTGACGAGTTTTCATATTTTGAAATCATTGCATAACAATCTCGTCATCTATACTATTGAAAATGTCTCTCTCAATATATGCAACGAAGCAATCATTTATACATAAATTGAAGATCTATTAAAATCAATAAAAAGAAAAAAAAAATCAAAATGTTATGAACTAAAAATAAATAAAGAAAGAAAAAAATAAAAAAGAGAACTGCTAAAAAACCTTTAATTGAATAAATTAACCTAATTAAAACTTGATAGTTTAATATGGAGTTTGAGAGAAAAACTCACAGACAGTGCATTGAGAAAGTCTGCTTTGTTGCTTGTGTATCTCCAAGAAAGGAGAAAAATGGGTTAGGATTTTATCAATTTTTTTAGAAGAGTAAATATATAATAATAAGAGCCATAAACCTTTGGAAAAAGGAAAGGAAAGTGGCTTAAGCTTGGTGGAAAGGAAAACAGGATTTGGCTGCTGGCCCACATGATAAAATAAACATATTAATTAATATAGATTATTCAATAACAGCAATACATATTACATTTTAAAAGAAAGAAAAAAAGTTGAGTGGGGGCCAGTGACTGCACTGGTCCCTACGTGCCTCCGCCCCTGCTTATTTGTACCATTTTTACTGATTACCTCTCTAATACACATGGGTCTCACATATACTGACATTATTGCTTACTAAATTGATACTTATTTTTGCCGGATCGTGAATCTAAACCACATTCAAAGACAAAAAGCATACTTTAATAATCTGACAAGCGAGCATTAGTCTATAATCAATATATGGGTAATCACTGATTTGTCTTTGGGCTTACAACCAGACTGTGATGTGTAGTTTAACTGGCTTTGTGCATTGTTTGAAAGCTTAGTTAATAAAGAGAGATTCATGCACAAGAGTAGTGGAACAGTTGCTGTAGGTGAAAGGTGAATGTTCTGCAAAATAAGGAGATAATGTTTTCAGAAGAGTTGAATATGATTTCAGAAGGGGTTGGAGTCAAAAAGACATGAGCTCAAATAAGCTTTAAGTTATTCATTGAAGAAGATGATGGAACTAATACTAGTGGTTGTTTTCAGAAGGTGTTATGATCGTGGGTCTTCAACTTTAATGTTCATCATTTTCATCAGTAGGGCAGTCTTTTGATTAATTTTATGGGGTAAGGCTGCGGAGAGGTCAGAACTCAGACCTGCAAAACAAGTCTAAAATCAACATCAATGAGGTTGGTTTTGGTTGTGACAACGCAATTCACTTTAATACTACTTTATTTCAGAATTGCAAAAGTAAAAATTATAACCTAGAAATCTCTAATTAGTCTCCATCCTTGGTAGAAAGAATGGTACATTTTTTTCCTTATTTTCTTACATCAGTAGATATGGGCTTAGTTAAGTTGGTTAGAGCGGATGTGCTCCATACTCTGCACCCGAGCTCAAATTTCTCTCCATATATGATTTAGATTATATTAAAATAGAATATAGTTTGTATAAGAAGGGTGCAGAAAGCATTTTCTTATTATTATTAAAAGTTTTCTGTAAGCTTCTCATGCATACCTAAAATACTACCCAACTATTTGGCAAAAATGGCTTCATGCACAAGATCTCCCAAACATGTAATTACAAATGCAAAAGGGTAATTAGAGTGGTTAATCCAGAACTGTTTTTATGTGCAGGTAGGTGACCTCTGCTTCATTTTTAAGTGGCATTGATTAGGCGCGAAAATGTTAGTTTATATTATAGGAGGTCAAATGTGTGTCCAAATGTCAAAAACATGTTGATGAGAAAGAGAGATTGTTTATTCCCTCACAATGTCATGTAGTGGGGAACCCACTCATTGAAGTTCCATAATGGGATAATGGGGGATGAAATTTCAAAGTCACTTGAACTTGGAATGAATAATGTTGAGGACCCTTTAAGAAACAACAAAGTTGATGAAGGGTCAAAAAGGAAAAATAAATTTAAAAAAAAATAAACAAAAAGAATATATAAGTGGGAATTTCCATGAGAGATTGGAAACCCACTTTGGCAATCCACAGCCTCCCTCTTGATCGAACTCAGTCACAACCATCATTGTGAGGACTTTAGCTTTTTTACTTTTTTTTTTTTGGATGGATTCTTCAGAGTGAAACAGAATATATCAAATCCTAGAAAGTGTTATTATTCTAACCATATCATTAATTGGCAAAAAAAAAAAAAAAAGAAGAAAAAGAAAATTACATTACCATCAAGGCCTAACATATATGGATTGAATCATTGAATTTTCTTTGGGGTTTTAGGTCTGCAGTTCAAATGGTCATTGTAGAAACAGAAAAAGAAAAGTCTATTGGATTTGATCATAATTGAAGGAGAATTGACCATAGGGAAAAAGCTATAAGGTATGGCCCTTTGGGGCTGCTCTCTTGAGCATATTTCTGAGCAAGTAATGACTTGTCATTATGGACACTGCTTGTCTATTTCTCGTGATGTTTAACATTTTATGGCCGACTCTTTTGTGTCTGGTTGCACAAATATGTATGCGAGAATAAAAGAGAGAAACTTACATGTCACGAAGTGTATACTTTCTTGTCATAACATAATAGATATATATATATAAATAGATATACACCTCGTTGCATATAAGTTTTAGTCGAAGGAGGGGATTTACAAGAAGTACAAGCACCCTCCTATTATTGCATGCGTTTGTTCGGATGGGTCCATATGTTAATAAATACCTGTCACGAACTGCATTCTTCTTGTTGAGTTCGAGATAAATTCATTGTCCTTTTCCTACTGTGTAATTAACATAGGATTACCAAAACAACAATCATTAGCATTGGTGATAGTCATGAAAGATTATGTTTAGTCAGTATCATAATTTACCGATCATCTTCATTGGATGACAATTTTTCAAAACAATACGAGACATGTATGGGTTAGGGTTAGCATTACGTGATACGAACTCATAAATAACAAGATTTATTATAATACGAACTCATACGATACAATTATCATCATTAGATAAAACCACTTTTCAAAAGAATATTGTTTTTTTTTTAAATGGCAAAAAAAAGAAAAAAGAAAAAAAAGATTGAAAATGATAAGCTGTATAAGATTTTAGGCAATGAATTTTTACCCTAAGGAAGATGTTTGTGTTTGTATGAAGGAGGACATAAAAAAGTTACCGAGTTTCTTGATTTTGCTAACATTTAGATGATATGAGAAGTATACAATACAAGTGATATGTTTAATTTAAAAATGAATATCATAATCTTAATTTAAAAATACGACACAATTATTAAACAAATCAAGTTTTTTTTACATATAATTTTTTCGTATACAAGTAATAGTCTAATTAACTTACAGAAAGAAGATTCAAACCTGACTGAAAGAATGCGGGCTCAACGCCTGATTAACTGGTCTAAAACCAGTTATTATTAAGGTACCTAACTTTAACTTAGATAATCTAATTACCTAACTAACACGCATTGACTAGCATTCAACGTAAAGCAAAAATGATGCGATTCAACACAACTTGATTGCCATCTCTAATTTATGTGATTTCCATCTCCAATTATAAGCTAAGTGATTTTCAATTGACTTAATGAGAACCACAAGATTGCAGGCAAATTGACCACTTGGCTGCTATTATATAATTCTTCCTCTGCATACATGCATGACATAAAACAAGGATACATTGAAAGAGTTTTATTTATATAGAAAAAGCTCATGAAAGAGAAGGAAAAAAAAAAAGAAAAGAAGAAAAGCTATGACATTTTTTTTTTCAGTTCAAATGATTGAATAGATGGGTCATTCATTTGCAAAACATGAAACAAAATGAAAAAAAAAAAAGGAAAAAAAAAGATAATAAATCAGGCCAATACACTTTACATTCTGCACTCCTTTCGTAATTTTAATTTGAATAATCTATGTGTGTGTATATATAAATAAATAAATGTTCACTGCTCTAGGAATTAGGACTTTTTACGAGATCATGAGCAATAATAAAAAATGGGGATACGGATCATTTTCTCACTGTACTGATCTATGCTTCCCTGTTTCCCGTCTTCCTCAATAATTGTGCTTTCATGAGTATTGATTATAATTTAATTATGATTTACGTTATTTAACTGCCCCACTAAATAGAATAAACAATTCTGCCGTATATGAAGATGAGAAAAGGCTATTGCTAGGGAAATGCTCTAAAATAGCATTATAGTGAGAAATACTTTTGGAAGAAAAAATCTCTTAAAACTAAGAACACCAATTCTGAATTATATAACTTGCAAATATAAGGAGACGTTAATTTTGTCAGTTGATGAAGACAATGTGTTCTTCTCCTTTGCACTAAAGTTCGATCACCCTCTTCGTACATTAAAGTAGTTTATAATATCATAGTGTGTTCTATTTCCTTGCACCAAAGTTCAATTCCTCTCTTCGTACATTAAAATAGTTTATAATATCGCTTTAGTAAAAAAAAGAAGACTTGGAAGCAAAATCTAAAGAATTTGTTAATAAATACAGTAAAAATGGGAAGTATTAATTTTTTTTTTTTGGGGTGAAAAAATGGGAAGTATATTGGAAAAAATAATTGTGACTTTTGTATTTGGTGCCTTTGGGGTCTAAAAATAAAATAATAGTGACTTTACCAAGGGCAATGACTAATCCACTTTCCAACTTTCTTCCTTGTCTTGGCGTCATCTTGAAGAATGAAGACCGGAGCACCACCCCAAAAACCTCTAGTGCCCAAAAAAAACCCAATCCCAAGTTCCCTTCGCAACCCCCAAATCCCAATTCACAAACAAAAACCCTCAACCAAAAAGAAAAAAATAAAAAACTCCATGTGCTTGACCCGTGGCCAGTGAGATCATACAAGGCTACAAGCTACAGCTCACTCCCTCACTTCCATCTCCCACAGTCCTCTCTCTCTCTCGTCGTCCTCCTCCCCCAACAAATCCTCATTCTCTCTCTCAACACATTTACACCTTTTCCCCACCTTTTATAATTAACTCCAACAGCTCCACCAGCCCCTGCTTCTCTCTCTCTCTCTCTCTCTCTCTCTCTCTCTCTCTATGCAACACAAGAAAAGTGGAGCAACAAGAACACCCAACAGCATTCACAAACAAACCCTAGAGCTAGAGCTACACTGACACACATTTTCACAATGGCACATCCATAGCCATTGAATTAAGCAACCATTCAACCTCAAAGTCTCAACCTTTGACCCAGTTGAGCTCAGACCTCTCAAATCCCCCACTCACACTCTTCATTTGATTTCACCATGGGAACCTGCACTTCAAAGCCACCAAAACCCAACCCATATTCCTCCAGAGACCCAAATGACCAAACCAACCCTTCACAAACCCCCAAATCCCTCCCATCCCTCACCCCTCACCACCACAAGGACGACGTCGTTTCCCGGCAGTCCCAGTCCCAGTCCCCCTTCTTCCCCTTCTACAGTCCGAGCCCCGCCCATTATCTCAAGAAGTCGTCTCCGGCGAGGACCAAGAGCGCCACTTCCACTCCCAGCCGCTTTTTCCGGCGACCCTTTCCGCCGCCGTCGCCGGCCAAACACATAAAGGCCGTGCTGGCTCGGCGGCTCGGCAAAAAGGCCTCGGCTTCGGTGGCGATACCGGAGGATGCTGAGGACGAAGATGGGGTTGAGCTGGACAAGAGGTTTGGGTTTTCTAAGGAGTTAACAAGCCGATTGGAGGTTGGCGACGAAGTGGGTCGAGGGCATTTTGGGTATACTTGCTCTGCTAGGTTCAAGAAGGGTGAGTTTAAGGGTCAGCAGGTTGCTGTCAAGGTCATCCCCAAATCAAAGGTTCGTTCTTTCTTTAATTCCTTATCTCTTTAGCTCATCTATGAATGCTCTCATTTGCTTAGGATTGAATTGATAATAAGGAGCATGTATGATTTTTTTTTTCTTTTTCTATTGTTGTAAGAATTGGATTTGCTCCACCCCGTTTGCTTAATGTTGCTGGATAAAAGTCGGGTTCTTTTTATTATTTATTATTTATTTTTGTCATTCTTCACTTCAAGATAAAAGCTGAGATTTTAGGCCTATGTTGAATCCCTGTTATTAGTATTGTTGTTGTGGGTCTTGTGGGTGGAGCCAGGGAATGGTGGTTTGTGGTTTATTAAATTAGGTACTTTACTAGTTTACTGTGTGATTATGTTAATTCCTACCTGAGTGAAGACTCAAGGTTGAATGCAACACAAGGAAGATCTTTACAAGATTTTGTCATGTGTTCATATCAATTGACTGTTGAGGAATCCTTCTAGATATAGACTATTAGGCATTAATTTTTTTTAAAGATGTATACAGCTCCACATCTTGGAACTTTGAGTGAAAGGGGTGTAAAGTGACCAACTTGTTTGTTTATTGCTTTTCTGTGGTCAATGATAGGTGTTGATCTCTTGGCCTACTTGATCCAACTGAATGGCTTACACCATGTTTTGCCACACAAGTTGGGATATTTTATGTTCAAATCACATTTTGGAACGAAAGTACATTTTTCCTTGAAACAATTAGTATGTTTAGTGATTGATTGAATTCCATGTAGTGGGAATAGGAATAAACACAACTGTTTATTTTCTTTTCTTTAACGGCTTCTCCTCCATATAACACTTCGTTGATGTCTAAGATGTGACAGTTCCTTCTAAAGGATAAACAAAGCATACAGTCCAAGAGTTGTGAGTGGACCTAAATACGGACAAAAGTCATGGTCCAAATTGTGGTTTTGGTCTTCACAGTGGCATATAATTGAACTAGATCATATGGCAGCCGATCGATGATCACAGCTGGGTAACAACCCATGATCACAGCCATCCCAAACTGCCGAAAACTTTTCATAGGTCACATTTCACGATATTGACTAAATACATGGTGACCATTAGAACCCTCATTAGGTGGTCTGACACTTATTCCAAGAGAAAAGAAACATTGTACTTAATCTTTTGTTGTTTTGTGTTCTGACGATCGTGTACCATGAGGTGGTTCAGCAATAATTGGAGCTATATAATTGACAGTATATTATTTTGAACAAAGTTACAAAAGATCTATGTCCAACCAATACTAAGGAATATGGGACTGAAGCTGAACCAATATCCAGGGTCAAGCTGACTCAATCTACCCACTCTTTCATTAAAGAATAGAAGATGACGACTTTGCTTTCCTTCCTGACAAGTCATTCTAAAAGAAAGACGGGGAAGAGAAAAAACTCTTGAGGGATAGCAGCGGACATCTTTCTAGCCTCTAATAAACATAAAATTATGCCTCATATGCTGGGAGAACAGAGTTTAATTATTTTTATATAAAGTAGATTACGTATTACGAATGTTGAACAAATGCAAAATTGGATGAGGTAAATACTCCAGTTGCCTGGGAAAAAGGTCCAAGATCATGAAGTCCTGTTTCCTGAGTAAATTTGGAGGTGAAATATAAGATGTGAAGTACTTAAAGAAGTATATAGAAGGCCTTGACAATGCATTACTGTGAGATGTGTTATGAGTGGTGGTTTTGGTTGTTGATATTTTGAGATAATATGCAGTTTCTGTATTTTTGTTATGATAATTTATTGTCATGCCAATGTATTCTTTGTTGTTAGATGACAACTGCCATTGCAATTGAGGATGTGAGAAGGGAGGTCAAGATATTGCGTGCCTTGACGGGACATAGCAATCTAGTTCAGTTCTATGATGCATTTGAAGACAGTGATAATGTCTACATAGTAATGGAGTAAGCTTAAAATTTGAATTACTATTTAATACTACATCTGGTTTTTCTTTTGCACAAGTAATAGTTATTGACTGAGGTGAAAAGTTATATTTTTCTGAATACTTCACTAAACTTGCCCCATTATTGAGTATGAGCAATTAATCCCCTTGGTGAGGTTGTATGATTCAGTTGGTTTTCTGTTTTTCATTTTTATTAATTTACATTATATGGAAGATCGCTTAATGCTCTCTGAATTTACGGTATTCAAATTTTTTGACATTTCAGGTTATGCGAAGGTGGGGAGCTTTTAGATAGAATACTTTCAAGGTATTTTTTAGATGATAGTATATATAAAAAAAAATTAAAAATCTTCCTTGGGACTTTCAGATGCTGTTAATTGTTGCCACTAATTTGATATCATGTTACTTCCGAAGGGGCGGGAAATACTCTGAAGATGATGCGAAGACTGTCATGGTTCAAGTACTGAATGTTGTTGCGTTTTGTCATCTTCAGGGTGTGGTGCATCGGGATCTTAAGCCAGAGGTGCAACATGTTCCTTTCTTTTCTTGTTATGAGATGCCTGTTTAAAGGTTACATTTGTTATGAAGATCTGAGTATGGGAACGTGGGTGTGGGTATTGACTGAATGAAGGGGCTTTCTGGTAGTGGATGAGGCTGATTAATCTTGCCCGCACTATTGGGTTTAGGGGGGAAAACATTCTTAATTTAGATTCAAGTGTTCCCCTCCCCAACCCCCAACAATTTATACAAGAAATGGAACTGCCACAACTGATGCTTGCTTTTATACAACAGAGAGGCTGCAGTAAAATCCACATATGTTTCAATTGACTGGATACGTAGTTTCCCAAAAATTATTTGACCGTTTCAAATTAGTGAAACTAATACATGGTTGATTCTTGTGGACTAAGATTAAACGTCATCCTTAGGAGAACTAAAACCTATTTCTCTTTTGGACTAAGTTTAAACACTATCTTGTAGCAGGACTAAACCAATTTTTCTTCTGGACTAAAATTCTTTTCTAGTATTGTTATTACTATTTGATGCTTCCGATCTCATAAACACGTATCAGTAGATTTTCCGTGGGTCTCATAAGTTCCCAGCCTGTACCTTCAGTTCCCAGATTTCTGATGTCATTGCTGTAATAACTGTAGCTGAGGTTCCCAGCTGTTTCTTTAACAGGTGTTTTTGAAGAACTGAAGAAAAAGCCCGAGTATTGACCCATATATGCTTGGTCCATATGGTATCTTTATGTGCTTTGTTCAAAAGACGTTTTATGTGGGAAGTGTAGGGTTTCCTCCTAACAATGTACAAGAAAACTGATGTTTCCCCATATTGCTGTGCCAGATACCTTGATACATATGTCAGATATCCATCATTAAAGCTAGAAGTTCTGGTCTGCTTGATATATTTGTTACTGTTGATTGTTCTATATGTAATTATATTTGTATCAAACTAATGTCCTTTTTTCATTTTTCTTATCAGAACTTTTTGTATTCCGCTAAGGATGAGAATTCCCAGTTGAAAGCCATTGATTTTGGCTTATCAGATTTTGCCAAACCAGGTATGTCCTTTCTTGAATAATCCAGCTCTATCTTCTTATCAATGTCTCAGCCTTTGGCGTTTGGAGGGGGGGTTTTAATACTCATTCTGGCTTACAGATGAGAGGCTTAATGATATTGTTGGAAGCGCATACTATGTCGCACCTGAGGTTCTACATAGATCTTATAGTACAGAGGCTGATGTTTGGAGCATAGGTGTAATAGCATATATTCTTTTATGTGGTAGTCGCCCATTTTGGGCCCGGACTGAGTCTGGGATTTTTCGAGCGGTGTTGAAAGCTGATCCCAGTTTTGATGAAGCACCTTGGCCGTCTTTATCTCCTGAAGCAAAGGACTTTGTTAAACGCTTATTGAACAAGGACCCTCGGAAACGAATGACAGCAGCGCAGGCTTTAAGTGAGTCTTCCCTATCTCTATTATGTATTTTCTGCCATCACTTTCCTGAGTCACTGACCATAATCTTTTGTTGGCAGGTCATCCTTGGATCCGGAATTATAATGATGTAAAAGTGCCTCTTGATATTTTAATATTTAGACTCATGAAGGTTTATATGCGATCATCATCACTTCGAAAGGCTGCTTTAAGGGTGTGTATATGTTTTCACTGACGAAAGAAAGAGAACTTTTTCTCGAATTTTGCCCATGCTGAATCAGATTCTTGGTCTTAAGAATTTTGTATATCAAGTCAAATGGTTGGGTTAGTTTTCTTGTTGAATGGGATTCTTGTTTTTGCATCCTAAAACATGTGAAAATTTGAGAATAATTATTAGTATTCCATAATTATTATGATGATCAATAAACCCATCAAAGCCTGGTAAAAATAAGGGAAGTTGCGGGGTTTGCTAAGGTGTTATCATCAGTTACTCGATAGTTGCTTCATCCAAATTATTCTTCTATGTGTGTGCATAGTTTTGTTTTTTATTTTTTGTTGTATGTTTTATATTGTTCATAACTTGAAATTTTGGTATATATATAATCAATCTCTAAACAGTTCATTTTTATGTCAATTTTCGTGACAGGCCTTATCTAAGACATTGACTGTGGATGAGCTCTTTTATCTGAAGGAGCAGTTTGCACTATTGGAGCCAAACAAAAATGGCACTATAACTCTTGACAATATTAGAATGGTTGCTCTCTCTCTCTCTCTCTCTCTCTCTCTCTCTCTCTCTCTCTCTCTCTCTCTCTCTCTCTCTCTCTCTCTCTCTCTCTCTCTCTCTCTCTCTCTCTCTCTCTCTCTCTCTCTCTCTCTCTCTCTCTCTCTCTCTGTGAGATAAGTCAATGCTTATAGTATTCTTATAATTTTGTCCTGGACAGGCCCTGATGAAAAATGCTACAGATGCAATGAAGGAGTCTCGCATTCCCGATCTCATTGCATCGGTAATAATGTGTATGCTATTTTTTTTCTTTGATGTTCCTTGACTTTTTCTGTTGTGTTAGGTCTCATAGGTTGTAAAATTACTGACTGATTATTTCTTCCATGACAGCTAAATGCACTTCAATACAGAAGAATGGATTTTGAAGAGTTCTGTGCAGCTGCATTAAGTGTTCATCAGCTGGAGGCACTTGATCGTTGGGAACAACATGCACGATGTGCATATGAACTTTTCGAGAAGGATGGAAACAGGGCAATTGTCATTGAAGAACTCGCTTCAGTAAGTTGAAATTTTATTGTCACATTTTGCAGTGTTGCTATAAATTAAATTAAAGAGTTTGATTATCATAGGTTGATTTCTGAGCATTCATGTTAGTTATTAATTGGAGTTGATTTACATCTCTAACCAATTTCTATGTTACTTGTTACCCTGGTAAAACAATCAGAATATTGGAACTAGTTACTGTGGAGAGAACTAATTATATTAAAGAGTTTTGGATAAACCAGACTTTGGGTCCTTGTTTTTTCACTTGTTTTAACCAAGTCCTTTTATTTTTCAAATAAAAATCAATGTCATTCATTCCTCCATCACAATAATAATTACTAGTTTGCTTCATATCCAGAGAAAAACAGGAAACTACTGTAGCTAGTAATTTAGTTGACCTCACTGTAAGCAATTTTAATGCTCAAATTCGGAAAAATGGACTTATTATGTGTAGACTATAATACGGGTAGGTGGCAGGAACGCTGCATGGCATTTGCTCTATCCTGACCTTTGCGTCATATCAGTAAACAGTGGTCCACATCAACACTTTCGATAACAAAATCGTGATTATGGTGCCTAACAGATCACATTGCTTCACTGAAAAATTGAAAGATCTAATTGAAACAATTGAAAAAGTAAGGACCATACTCCCAAAGTGTATGTTGGTCTAGGGTTTTTAATTTGTACATCAGTGCATCCTATGCATCTGCATTTTAGTAGGATCCGCCAGTTGTCAAACCATTTAGAAAAGATGATCTTGACATGTTGATTTGCCTTTTCTTTTACTTCTTATTTTTACCATTCTAGAAACAAAAGATTTACAAGGCTTAGTACATTTTGGACTGTAGCGAACTGAGACTACTGTTATTTACGTTATCTTCAAAATGTGTTTCAGGAACTTGGACTTGGTCCCTCAATTCCGCTTCATGTGGTTCTCCATGACTGGATTAGGCACACTGATGGGAAGCTAAGCTTCCTTGGCTTTGTGAAGTTGTTGCATGGTGTGTCCAGCCGGACGTTTGTGAAAGCATAGTGAAGTTATAGAACATTATTTGGGTATGCGTTTTAACCAAACGAGATGTGCTATGTGTTGATAGACGACGTGCATCCAATGATTGATTTTCAAGATTTGGAGATCTGATAAGATGGCCAATTTACAATCTGCTTTGGCACATAGAAAGAGCCTTCCGTGCCAATTTGGGGAGAGAGGCTTGAACTTCCCGGACACTGCAGGTGCAAGCCTAGTTACCAGTTTGAATGCTGTGTTGTTGATATTCAGAGTGTAAAGCTGTAGTTAGTTTGCCTAAATGGGTAATTGCATATTCTTCAACTCCTTAGATGCATTGTACACGTTAAGTTATCCTCGTCTCCCCCAACATCTGTCCAGTTACTGTGAAACATGCTTGAATGAATTGCCTCAGTATTGGAAAACTCCTCTGTGGCTTCAATTGAAAACCAAGCTTACAAGCAGTGTGGTAACTAAAAGTAGTGTAAATAATCTCACTTCCGGTAAGCATCTGCCAGTAAAATTTTTAGCTCCGGATGAAGGAACAAGAAGACAAACTACCTTCTCAGAGAATTAAAAGGAAAAATTAAAAAAAAGAAAAGTTTGAGTTTTGAGTTTGGGATCTCCTCCTGCTGTTGCAATCCTTGTGGCTGAGGATGCCTTTGAGTTTATCAGGCTTAGGGATGTCCAAAAGTATTTCTTGTTTTAAGCCCTTGGCTCTCCTGGGTACCAAAACAATTGGATTTTAAATTACAAAAATTGTTAGTATTCAACTACGACGAGTCAAACGATTACTGGTTAGTCAGTTCTACGGCGCTAACCACTGGTTTTGACCCAATGAAAAATGTAGTGGTGCTACACAGCAGACACCACCTATTTTTCAGAGTTTTGGTAATAATTAGTGTATATATTAATTTAAATTTATTAAGAATTGCAGACATGTGCTTAGCCAAGTTGGTTAGAATAGATGTGCTCCTCACTCTATATCCAAATTTAAATTTTTCTCTCCATACTTTAGATTATATATAAGTAGAACATCGCTTATATCGAAAAAAACAAAAAGACTTAGTATAGTACAGTTGACTTTCTTCCAGGATGAAGTTAATAAAGTTCACTTTCATTGCACAAGCCCCATACCCAAAACTTTCCCGTCTGATTGCTTCATTTGTCAAAATATGAGAGGCTAAAATATGAGCCAATGGGAGACTATGAGAATGGAAGAAGATAATTTTTCCGGTTTTCAACTTTATTACTTTATTTACAAGAAGAAAAGACTTGCTTCAACCAATATGTCAAAAGTGCCATATAGACATTTAATAGTTAGAAATAACATCTCACATCACTCAAACTGATGTGGAATGAATGCTGTATGTTGAGATGTTATTTTTGACATTCCAAAAGCAAAATGTTAAATAAATATTTTATTATTTTTTCTTTTATTTTCTTTTTAATTAAAAATAAATTAACACTAAAATGTAATAAAATAATAATTTAATTTGACATATCAAATAGAGTGTAAAATTGTATGAGATATCAAATTGCCACATCAACCATTAAATTTAAATTTAATATTTAATATTTGATATTTCTCATGGAGATAACTCAATATTAATTACAAGTAGGTGGCTGGTGCCATTAATGTTTTGATTAGTATCCTTCAATCCCCATACAATCACAGAGTTCCCAAGAATACGACGCCCAACAAACCCATCCAAATATGACAGCTGCACTCCACAAGTCTCCACAAGTCTCCGCAAGGCAAGCTGATATTTCTCACACTTCCAACATTTATTGCTTTCACACACAAGCTAATATCCTTCTAAAGAAGAAAGGCAACCTCTCTGCAACTCGTTTCCGTAGAATTTTCCATCCTGCAATAGAAATGATTTGGAAAAGTCGCGTCACGCAGACTTGAAAGGCCGGGTGGAGCCGTTATCTCTGCCACAAGTCATCAAGAGTTGATTTAATCACTCATTTAATTTGACTCGTTCCACTCCTTGCGTAATTTCCCCATGTTTTTTTCCTGGTTACAAGTAGGGCCGAAGCCCAAGAGAAAACCAAAAAGAAAATTACACTGGGACAAGCCTAGGAGTGGTCATCTTAACAGAGTCATTTGCCAAGAGGCTTACAACAGGAGGAGGGGGAAGAACAACAACATGATAACCCAAATTGGAACTTTGACCTATATGTGCCATATGGTCGGCAGCAATGTTTTGTTCTCTATAAATATGAGAAATGAAACACCCCCAGTCATGCAAGGGCATGTCTTTGCAATTATGGATGAGGCTAGAGAGAGGGTGACAAGGTCTAGTCTCTCTGTTAATTAAGGAGACAGTAGTAAAAGAGTCACACTCCACTTTAATTATTCGGAGACTTTCGTAATTTCCTTTATACGTGTTTCTCTCTGCTGAATATTATATATTAGTTAGCTAGCCTCATTTCTGAGGTGCATAGAGGCGTCATCCTTTTGAATACTCTTGTAGGGTTCGTAGGTTTTTTTTTTTATATGGCCTCATCCTCTTCTTCTTCTTCTTTTGCTCATCCCCCTCCACAAAAGCATGAGGTGTTTATAAGTTTCAGAGGTACAGATACCCGGGACACTTTTACCAGCCATCTCCATGCTGCTTTAGTTCATAAGAAAATTCAGACCTACATGGATTGCAGACTTGAGAGGGGGGACAAAATTGGACCTTCCCTCTTGCAAGCGATCGAGGAATCAAAGCTCTCGTTGATCGTTTTCTCGGAAAACTATGCTTCTTCCACCTGGTGTTTGAATGAACTTGCGCACATATTGGAATGCGGAAAAAGAAACGGACAAATTGTCATACCCATTTTTTACGGCATAGATCCATCACAGGTACGGAAACAACAGGGGAGTTATGAAGATGCATTAGCTGAACTTGAAGAACGTTTCAAAGACAACATGGACAAAGTGCTCATGTGGAGAAATGCCTTGAAGGAAGCAGCCGATCTGTCTGGCTTTGAGAATTCAAAAAGAACAGGGTAACTCTTGACCATTTCATTCATACAAGAATTGTTAAGGGGTAGTTACTAAATATTATTATTAATTCATATTTTTTTGATTTAATTCATATCTGCTACTAAATATTATTCTTTGTTCTTCATGATCATATTTTTTCAGGACGGAGGCTGATTTCGTTGAGGAAGTTGCCGAAGATGTTCTGACCAAACTGTATCGCGCATTGTCAAGTGATTTAGAGGACCAGGATCAATTTTGTTCAAGAAAAATCAGTGATTTCAAAGGCATGCCTTCGCGCGCGTCGGTGCGAGGCGGGAGGAGAACGGCCGATGCGGTCGGCTGTTTCGCGAGTTGCACGTTTAGCGCTGGGAAGGCGTGAGAAGGCGTTGCAAGGCGTGGCCAGGCGGAGAGGTGTTGCAAGGTGCACCATATTTGGAAACTTCTGAACCGGAAGAAATTTTCAAGTCTGCAAATCGTCTGCGAGGAAGATGACCCCCTTTTTTTTTATTTTTAGGTTTATCGTAATGAATCGACGTCGTTTTGATTGAAGAGTTTAAATTTTTTTTTTTAAAGTGAAACGACGTCGTTTCACTTGGTGTTAAAAAAAAATGCTATTTCAGGTTTTTTTGACTTACCTTTATTGTAATAAACTTATTGGAAGAATTAAAAACTTTTTTTTTTTTTCTAACTCCAACCCACTGTAGCTTTTCTACTTACCTTTTTTTTTTTTTCTTCTTCTTCCTTTCTCTAAATTAATATATTAACACATGGACTATATATATATTGTATAGTACATGTAGAACCCTAATTTCTACCCTTACTAGATAACTCCATCAATTTCAAGAATTCTCTTCATCTTTCGACTGCAAGTAAGTATTTTTTTTTAACGTACACGCATCATACTTGTATAATTTGACTATAATAAACTGTAATTTGAAGTTCTGTATAATTTTTTTTCAATTTTTTATATATAAATATACTAGTTATCTTATTCGTTAATGTGATATAATACATGCATCATACTTGTATCTTAGAAATATTAATGGTATTGTTTTATAGCTATGAATCGAAAAGATCCTGCGTGGAAGTATGCAAAAGAAATAGAGGGGGAAAAAGCAAGTCCATAAGAGCGATGCTTATGGATTAAGATGAGGAGATAGATAAAGATCCTTCAACATTTGATAGTGGGAAATATCCTTTTCATATTGATACAGTTGATCAATATGATAGTGATGCTAGTTTGAATGATATTAGTGTTGAGGAGTGGGATGAGTGAATTATATTTTTGTTTTGATGTTGAATAAACATTTTATGTTTTGGGATTGATTATTATGCTTTGAATGACAATTAGTACTTATATTTGATTATATTTAAAAGATTGTTATAGTTGAATAAGAATTAGTTATACAATTTAATCGTATTGTATTATTCATAAATTTTTCTTATTAAAATAAATTAATATTCAAAAGGCTTACGCCTCAACGCTTCAAGGCTTACGCCTCGCATAGCTCTACTAAAAATGCCTCGCCTATATGCCTCGCCTTTGAAAACATTGAGAAAAAGGTCTAATTATCAACACTTACGGTCCTCATTGTTCTTGATGATGTGATGATTCAAGCCAGATAGAAAATCTAGCATGTAGTAGTCATCTTAAGTTTGGCCCTGGAAGTAGAATCATTATAACAACTAGAGATAAGAGCCTACTTAAGAAAACTCTTCCTCATGATAAGATTTACAAGTTTGGTCATAAGGACGGATTGATTTCATGGGCATTAAAGAGTGGTGTTTCCGCTAGACCTAATGGCTGCATCCTTAAACGCACTCTACTCCACCTAAGGGCCAAGAGTAGTCAATTGACCCCTGCAAGTCCGGAATTCACAATTGGAGGCGAAGACGTTGACCCCTGAAAATTGCCCATAAACTGCTTGATGAAATGCTCTAGAGGGTGCAGCACACCAACACAGAATGCAAATTACTCTTTGTCTTTTTATTTTTATTTATTTTGATATTACTCCATTTACTTAAGTTTACAATGTAAATAAGGAAGTACTCTCCATTTGAATTAAAATAAAAATACTAGAAAATCAAATTCCCACCAAATCAAAATATGAAAAATCGGTTTTACTGCAAAATACGATTTAGGCTAAAAATGATGGCTCATTAAGTCAATATATATTTCATATTAAAATTCCATAAAATCAAGTTTTCTTATTTGACGTGTAAGGAATAAAAGCCGCCAAAAATTATCTTGAGAAAATGATTATTCTGAAAAATCATTTTTCATACTCTGCCAATATTTTTACATTAAACAATTTTTCATATATGATATGAATGTATTAGGGGACCTATGACCAATCTAGGTGAAAAACCTTAGATGTTCAATCCACAAAGGGTTTTACAAGAATAACCTAACTCTCACGTATATATTTGCTTGAATAAGCTCCCCTTAATACAATACTCATAAGGGTCCAAAGTTTGAGAGCTAGAACCCCCAAAAAATGCATATAAAGCCTGAAATCAAAACTACAACGGACCTAAAAAATGACGTAAACGCCCTACAATGAGCAGGATTGCGCTAATATATGCTAGTTTTTATATCGAATAGGATGAGACTGTAACACCCAGACTCCAAATTTATTGCATATTTTAATTTATTTAAGTGAAATTACGAATTTAGCCTGAGGATAGGGGTAATTTGGTCATTTCTTATTCGAAAGGAATTTGGGAATTCCGGCTGTACCTTTGCGTAGAGCACGACGAGTTGAGTCCGTAGACACGTAGTGGGCTCGAATTGGAGTTGTAACGAGAGAGTTATGATCGAATGAAACTCAGTGGCATGATCGTAATTATTTGGAAAAGGGATTTTTGATAAAAAGTCATATTTGCCCTCATCTCTCTCTCTCCTCGCGACGGCAGCTCCGCCTCTCTCCTCCAAACTCCGGCCACCGGCCACGGATGCGGACGGGACAGGTGCCAAAAGGACCAGCTCAGCCCCGGCGTCACGACCCGGCCCTTCCCCGACATCGTCCGCCGCTCCAGCCGCCGGAAAAAGGTGATTTTCAGGCCGGTTGTCGCTCGAAATTTGCCGGCTCCGATCTCTCTCATCCGACAGCCATTTTTGGCGATCAAGGTATGGAAATTCATCCTTTCCTCAAGCTCTAGCTGCCTGTTGGGTAGGAATTGATCAATTTGTAGCGTAGGCAACTCGATTTACGAATTGGATTTCGGCTGGATTTCAAGGGGAGATTCTGGCCACTTCCGGTCAGTTTTTGGGGTAGGTCCAAGAATAAAAGTGGTTCCAAATAGGGTGTTTTACCTGGGGTAGAAGTCTTGACCCGAGATTTGGAGATTTTCCGGCGAAGGGTAATCGCTTTGGACACCCACGCGCTGCCAGTGCTTGTGGCGGCGCGTGGGCACTGTTGTTGAGGGGCATTTTTGTCCCAATGAGATCCTCAGGTTTTCATGAGCGGGTAGGTGTGCTCGGATCCTCAGGTCCTGAGTTCGTAATATGTTAATCTAGACATCCCTAGAATCGTGTAGGATTCGACGGATTGTAAAACAGAGTCCCGGATACTCCGGAAATGCCAACCGTAGGGTTAAGGTTTTATTCACCGTCTGATCGTGCGATCGTGAGCGATCCGACCGTTCGATCTGGACCAAACTTGCAAGACGTGCATCCTAGAGCTTGTAGAACCTATAAGAACTTTCAGATCAGAATTTGGAGGTCGTGGGCCCGCGGGTCCTTTTGACCAAGGTTGGGTAGTTTGACCCTGGGTTGACCATGAGACTTCCTAGGTAGTGTTACCTTCCTAGGAGGATTTTAATGACCCTAGTGACAGGTCTTGAGCGTTTTTGAGTTAAATGAGTTATGTGGATTAGGATATTAGTATATTATTTAAATTGAGGGATTTATCGGATGCTCTACCAGGGTTGAGGTTTATGAAATAGAGGATTATATAATTATATATATTTATGTGTATATTAAAAGGTATAAAAGAGTATAGAATGTCAGTTTGGAGTGCTATACGCATTACCCTATGTACCTCCCCGGATATTGATTACCCTGTGTAAGTACCACCTTGTGCTTGTGAGGTCACGTGTGTCGTTGGAGTAGCCGGCGTGTTGACAGACCCCATACGTGGCCGGGTGCGTCCCGACGTATGAGGGGAGATATGTGATTGTGTTGAGGTCACACGTGTCGTTGGAGTAGCCGGCGTGTTGACAGACCCCACACGTAGCCCGGTGCGTCCCGACGTATATGGGGAGATATGTGAGATTGTGATTGGTGAATTATGATTTAAAGTAAAAGGGTTTTAGAAAGAACTACGTGTGGCTTGATCCCTCAGTAAGGATACGTAGGCAGCCTAGAATAGCGCCTGGGTGTAGCCGCGGGTCAACTTTGGACCTTGTCATTGGTCCTGAGATTCAGGTGAGAGCGAGAGGTGTTCATGTTAGGATGTTAAATCCTCATATGTTGAAATTGGGATAGTTAGATTGTGAGAATCCTTATTCTTAAAAATGTTAATATTTTATTTTTTAGTAAGTATTAAATTATAATTATAATTATTTATGGAAGTCTATGTTTTATTTGCTTCACTTAATGCAAATTCAATAATTTTGATGATGTTCTTAAACAATTGCTTTTAAATAGCATCTCGTTTATTTGCTTCACGTAATTTACTTATCCTATATAGTTATTTTGAACTCTTTCTTCTATCCAAAATTAAAAAAAAAATTATTCATGCATAAGAGTTATTTTACACTCCACGTAGTTAGCATTTGTGCAAATTTTCACTATTAGTTCATGATCTTGTTAGAGTTGGGCAATAGAAAACGTAACCTTTTGCATGCAACACCTCTTAACTTTAATTGTTATAGTTGGCAAGTTTACATTGCATTGCATATTAGCTAAGCAAATGTGAAACTCATTTACACTTGCTTGCTGCACACTAAGGCTCACATCTGTCTTTGTGACTAAGCAACTTAACCATGAGCTGTTATGATTTTAGAAATAGTTATCCACAGCTGAAGCAAATCAACATGCAGCCAATGAAAGAATAGGATAGTTGCCGCCTCTGCTTAGTATAAATAGGACCCTTCACTACTAATTGTCATGCATAGTTGTGCATGAGAAGAGAAAAAGAAATCGAAAGAGGAGAAAGTGAGAAAGAAAAGAAGATAGAGAGGAAGACTAAGTTTGTGAAGGTGGTAGAAATTTGGGAAAACACATTACATTTCTAGCAAAAGCTTTGGTATCAAGGTAGGGGTTTCTTGGGGGCCTTTTTCAAAGATTGATTTAATTAAATTTTGTGAACATTATATTATGCGTGGTACTTGTATTGGGTGTTTACGTAATCTTAACTGTTTAAATAATGTGGGAATGATTATATGTACATTGGTAATATTTAAATAATTACATTGTTTTTATAAAATATGTGAACTATATAATGTCATGTAAATTATTTGGAGTTCTTGGGTTGAGAAAATAATGGTGGAAAAGAGGGTAATGTAAATGGTCTTTTGTATAGTTGAGTCTAACTCTTGGCAGGTACCAGG